ATACAGTGAACATCACCCACATAACAATTTTGTTTGGGTAGAAACTTGAAAACTGAATCCATCTGGAGTGTACTGCACAGTGAGGTCATATAATATAGGCCAGATGATCCAACAACATGGCCCTGCTTTCCAGTCAAGGATCCAAAAATTACTAAGTTCTAGTTCAGATCAGACCAACAGAGTAGTCACTGTAAAAACTACCCTTTACATGAATGAGGTGCTCCCTGGAATTTATGCAAGTCACACACAGAACACTTGGTTAAGTTCAGGCATCAGTTTAATCAGTACTCCCTGTATCAAAAATAGTTTCAAGAGTTATTGCACAGTTTCCATGGAGACTGAACCTAAAGAATTCTTCTTTCTATTTCTGTCTGTGAAAATCCCATCACATTTAAGCTGCCAAGTTTCTCAGGAGAGCCTGAAGGATTAAAAGTGGCAGTTTATATCCATGTTAGTGTCTATCACATGCCACTTAATTATTTTGGAAACATATTTACCTTTCCATATGAGGAAAATAACTTACAGTTTCACATTTTTGATCAGATGGAAGCAAATTATTTAAGGACTTCCAAACACATTTCCACAGAAAGTGTATTATCTGAAAACCTCCTTATCTTCTATTCCATCTTACCTTACTGGCCAAAAATATATGAGCTATACGTGTCTAATGCACTTTCACCTCACAGGTAGGCTCTTAATGTCTCTCACTGCATGCCCACAGGCAAACTGATGCAGCCTAGGCTAGGGAAAGTGAACAGTCAGGTGGAATGAAAATTCAGATACCAAACAAAGTCCACCTGGAGGCCAGTCACTACTGATCAACAGGGTGTCACACTGGGGCCAACACCGTTTAATGTCTTCATTAATGACCTGGGTGACGGGGCAGAGTGTCCCCTCAGCCAGCCTGCACACAACACAGAACTGGGAGGAGTGGTCTGTCCAGGAGGTGGGTCTGCAGATGGGTCTGCTGCCACTCAGAGGCATCTCAACAGGCTACAGAAACGAACTGACAAGAAACTCAAGAAGTTTAACAAAGGGAGATGCCAAATTCTGCACCTGGGGAAAAGCAAGCCCATGCACCAGAACAGGCTTGGGGCTGACCATCTGGGAAGCAGCTTGGCAGAAGGCATATGTTACTCCTGCTGGACAAAAAGCTGAGCACGAGTATGCAATGTTCTCATTAAACAATCCAGGACTGTAGTGGGAAAAGTAGAGCCAGCACGCTGAAAAAGGTGATCTTTCCTCTCTGCTAAGCAGTGGTGAGATCACATCTGGTGTTCTGGATCCAGCTGTGGGCTCCCCAGTACAAGACAGACATGGGTGTACTGAAGGGAGTCCACAAAGATGATTAAGGGGTTGGAGCATCTGACATACGGTGGGAGGCTGAGAAAGCTGGGATTGTTTAGCCTTGAGTAAGCTCAGCAGGGTTCTCACCAACGTTCATAAATGTCTCACAGGCAGAGGTGAAGAAGATGTACTGAGACTCTTCTCACTGGTGCTCAGTGAAAGGATGAAAGTTAATGGACACAAACTGATAAACAGTAAACTCCCCTTAAACACCGGTAAACAACTGGTTAACTGCAAGTGTTGCTATACACTGGAACAGGTTGCTCAAGGAGGCCCTGGAGCTTCCCTGTTTGCTCTAGCTGACCTTCCTTCGGACAGGAGGGCTGGACTCCAGACTCAGGTATTCTGTGGTTTCATAAATGCAAAATGAAGAAAGAGGGAAAGGTATACATGTGTACCTGCCCTTAGGCAGTGATGCCCAATGGAACTCAGCTTCAAAGATCTTCATCAAGAAGCGCTGGTAAGCCAACACAAGTGATGCAGCTATAAATAACATGGGCTCTGCTAAATGGCTGGAATAAACAAAAATAGCCCTAAAGTCAGTTTTCCCTGCCTAGGTCAACCTCCTCTTTTAGAGCAACAGCTCTAAAAGAGGCTGCAGGATGCTAGGCTCTTTGCTAAGAACAGCACTGCTGAGTGGTTCTAGGCACATCCACTCATCTCAGACCAGGATGGGTCAGGAATCCTGACAACATCCTGTGGTAATCTAGTGGGACCCACTAAATGAACTCCACAAACAAGGCCAGATGATTCTTTCACACCTTCCCATCTGGAGGAAGTGGGGAAAGGATCTTCATCTTGCTCTCAGGACCTTAAAAAGGAAAGGATTTGAATTTCACTGACCAAGGCACACTGCAACATCCTAAAGCATCTAGCAGTTTTTAAGAAGTTCAGTCTCCCATACATTTAAGAAAACACATGAAGCAGATGACCCTCTGCCTTCTCACTTCTAGCTTTGGTTCCAGTGAATATCAACAAAGCAATAAGACAATAATTTGGACAGCAATGACAAAGCACAAGAGTAGAATAAAAAGCACACAGACCAAGTTCTGAGCAACTTAACATACCAATTTAAATAAGTCTCAGGAGCTAGAGATTCCAGTCCACTTTTGTGCACTGTTTCATAGAGGAAACAACCTTACCAGTTGACCCAAAGGAATTTAAAAATGGCCAGAGACACAAGCTGTTCAATGGAATCTACTTACATAAGTGATGTGGGTATTACAGGCCGTAGCTACCCACTTGAGCGCAGGTTAAACCAGCACTGTACCTGGCAACACTAATAGCTGAGCTTTTAATCTGCAAAAATTCAACCAAGAAAACATCAGAACAACAACCAACACCACTACAGAGGCATATTATTTGAAACAATATCAAACAAGTACAGACACTCAAAGATTTTGTTACGGAAAGTTTGTCATTATTTTGTTAGAAGAGCTTTCAAAGAACATGCTATATGGTATCATTTTCTCTTCATTGTATGTTAGTGTTCATCACAGTCTGCTGTCTAGGTTTTAAACAACATTAAAACTGCAGCTCTTCAAATTATGGGAACTCTTAACTCTTTCCCCCTCCCTCCTCAGACAACAGAATGAGCCGTTTACTCTGCTGTGCTCAGAGTCCTCCAAGCACAAGCAAAAAGTGTCAGTTCCAAGGCACCTACAGTGTAATAGTGAAGAATGGAGAGTGGGACTGCCGAAAAAAAAAACCCCAACATGACAAGAACATGGTTGTGAACAGTGAAACCATACAGAACTATTTTAAACAAATCATGGCAGAAGTATAAAGAGGTATAAAGAGGAAAAACAGGACATTAATAGAATGCAAGCAATACCCAGGTTCATTGGTCACATATTTTCTAGAAGACAAGTGGCAGCACTTTTTCTACGTACATGAGCACCCTTCTTAAAGAGAGCTGAAAGAATGGAGGAAACTTGAAGAGCTTGGATACTAGAAAAATATATTGATGGAGCAAAGGAGTAACTAAAGCTAAACTGAGGATCATTAGAGTTAAAACTTAGTCTGGTGTCAAGTCACCAGGCAGCAAGGAAAATTCAAGAAAAAAATCTCTTGATTCTTTAAGACATCAATAATTAGTGTATTTCACATCTACTCCTCCTGAAGCAAAAAAAATACCAGAATGAACAGAGAAAAGGCTGGCTTTCAGAAGTGTTATACAACAACACCAGTACTTAGACCGTACCAATCTATGTAAGACCAAAGATGTCTTCAAGCTAGCTGGCCTTGGGCTGAGAGGTAATGTTCCACAGTCTCAATCTACGCTAAGGAGGGCATTACTAGAGCAATACAATGGCCCAGCACTGGGCTGCATAATTCCACAGCAACCAAGCAGAGTGCTAGACATCTTTAGAGAGCAACACAGCAGACAGACAAGTCAGACAATAAAGGTTAATCACTGTGAATACCTGTGAAAGGTGCCTCTTAATACAGGACGATGGACACAGTGACTGTGCAATGATTTAGCCTGTTAGAACAGGTCCCTGCTGGCTCAAAAAACCTCCCCTAGACAATGCAGCTGGGTCGGCTGGGGGTCCTCCTTACACCTTTAATGAACACACACCAGCCAACACAAGTTCACAGTGAAGGCACAGCCCAAAACAAACAAGCAAAAGACAAAAGTCAAAAAACAAAAAGCACTGACACAATGAGACTGGATGACACTGTAGATAAAAGGGAGTCAGAGGTTCACAGAGCATGGCAATACATAAGGTAAAAGGCTGTGATAAACTAAATACTGTCTAAAATCCCACCTGCCAAGCCTACTGCGACATTTTCTTCATCAATAAAAAAGGAGTGCATTTCAATTCCACAGATAACAGAGAAAAGACTCTGAGATAGTAAGAATTTAGTCACTGTCAAATGTTATTTCTGTGAAAATATATCAACTTTTGGAATTTGGGTACTGATACAATACAATACAGAACTCACAACTCCTCTGTCTGTTTTAACATAATGCATCTCTCCCTTTGAGTACCCTGAATGATGAATTAAAAAGAGTTTTAGAGAGTCCAATTGGATTTTACATGCACACTTAAATTACCTAGTATTTTTCAACTGTCTTCTTAAAACTCTAATGCACTAACTCATTTTAATTTATCCACCACACAAGATACCCAAAGCACGAATATTTTATCTACAAATGACTGCAATAACCAGTAACATACAATAATATAAGTATGTTTTATTCATAAAGCATTGCATGTCACTATGTCAAAGAAGGACATCACATTAGTTAAGTTTGAATTCTATTCTACTACTTTAAAATGTCCTTCTCAGGTCTCTGACTTAATAGGTTCCAAGAAGAACATTTTTAAGCAGAACATGCTGTCACAACAAAACATAATAAAATTTTAAGTAATTTAGCACAGCAAACTGAGAATGCATTCAGAGAAAGAAAATCAGTGAAACATACATGCATATTCCCAGTGCAAAACTTCTGCAGGTAAAATGAAACTGGAAGAGTTAGGGGATACAAATCCATACCAGAAAAAAGAACATGCATTTTCTTAATGGAAAACTTCCAAAGGAAAAAAGGAACAAAAACTGTTTCTTTGAAAAAATATGCACTTTGTGGATGGTATTTATATCTGCAGTACACAGAGGAGCATTACTTTAGTTCAAAGCACGATTACCTGCTAACTTCAGAACTTAAGTAGCACAGCAGATGAATGGCCCAAAGAAAAGGTCCCGCATATGTTGCAAACGCCGTAAGGAAGATAGCCGGTACCTCCACATAGCTCTCTAGTCCCACAAAGCCTGCTGAAACATCCACAGTAGCAATGCCATTTGAATTTCCCTGAAAACAGAGATAAAATTGCAAATATTCAAGTATCCCCAAAGATACACTTAGAATACATTAGAATAATATTAATTATTGCACCATTTTAAGAATTACTCTTTAAGCCCCTTTATAGCACAGCTATATTCTTTACATCTGAATTTTAATAAAACAGCTTGCCAAACAAATGCTTTTATTTAGGATTTACAGACTAATGAAGGTATAAACAGCATGCTATTTTGCGTATTTTGTCTGCAAATAAACACAACTATTGTTTAATAAATTACATTTAAAATAATTTAAAGAAAGCACTTGCTGATTTCAGTTGCACTAATGAAAAAAAAAAGCATTTTTCATCACACACACTTCAAACACAAGATTTTAGGCCTGCTGCCTAAAATTACACCACGAAATAAATATTTCTTGCCCTCAGAGACAACAGGACTCTAATTTAGAGCTGTAATGGAACACTACATCGCCCACCTGCCTGCCTCATGGCACAAGTGTCTGCATGTAAACAGATTAAGACAGGAAAATTTAGAAAGGTTGCTCCTATCCAAGTCTTATACCACAAAAGACTGCATTGAAATAGACCAAAATGCAGCCTAGATAGCCTGAATCATCAATAAAAGACATTTAAAACCTAGTAAGTGAAAAAGAGAAAGAACATACAGTAATAAAAATATCAAGACTTGTGTATTTTATGTAGTTTTCCAGTGACCAAAACCACTAAATAACAAGGAATAATATGAAATTGAAGGAAGTGTTTTTGACTGAAAATCCCCAAGTATTTAACTTTACTCAAATACCTAAAGTACCCCGTGATTAAGGCAGAATGGTCAGTTGCCCCAGCAAGGTACCTCACTAAGCAGGCACTAGGAGACAGGAAAAAAAAAAAAACAAACACAACAACAACAAAACAAAACAAAAACAACCCAACACCAAAAAACCTGTTCCTGAAACAGCTCTAAAATCTAAGAGGCGAAAGCCATCCATGTTGACAGAACCTTGAGTTCATTATAAGCAGTCACTATCCCCGTGGATCCTACCATGAAGATATCCTCAACATGTAAGGGAGTCTGAAGATGTAAAGAGGACAGGAAAGTATGAATTTTACAAAGACATCATACACCAAAAAGGCTTGACTGATGACCATCAGTCTTCCTCATTTTGACTTTCACCATGCACCACTGTAGTAAATTACTGTTACACTGCACCGGTGTAATAAATTACTGTCATGCATTTAATGTAATTTTCAGCAATGACAGAACCAAAGCAAAGAATAACTAATGATGAGCAGCTAAAGAAAAAGCATATCTATGCCCTAGAACCTGTAAGATGAGACTGGAAAAGAAAGCTGTAAATTAAGGCTAATCCTCAGGTTTAAGGGATGTAGACCGAGGTCATGGCAAGAGCTGAAAGGTCAAGTGCAGCACTTTCAAAGCAGGGCAGGGTGCTGTTCCTCAACGAACAAAGGTTTGACAGGGACAGGTAGGCAGAGAACATGATTTCTTTTCCCCCAGTCCCTGTCTACAGCAACAGGTCTTTTCCCCACCACAACTTCTTTTTCACTGCCTTCCCTTTCTGCATGATGCATGCAGAGTAGAAAGCTGAGACATCAGGAGATCATGCTCATGTCATCTCTTCAACACTGTTTACTCCACCTTGTTCTACATCTACATCATTTTAAACAAAGTCAAAGACAGAGGGAATTAACCTGGTGTAGAAGGAATCCAGGGAGTCGAGGAGAAGGGCGAGAGCACTCTTCCTTCCTAGTTTCTTCTTAGCCTCACTACCTTCCCAAGGAGAGTACATCTTTTTGCCCTATTCTGCAGTGCTGCATTTATTCTTGCTCTTTCTCACATGTAGTGGGATGGGGACATGCCCCAGGATGCCAAGGTTCTGCTTGCTGTCTGCAGACAGACTCTTGCAGGTTTCAAGACCCCAAGCAATCTGGTCTGAACCTCACAGCTGACACTGCTCTGAAAACAGGATGGAACTATAGGCCTTCTAGAGTCCTCTCCAGTGTAAATCACCCTACAATGCTTTGAAATCATAACAAGAGAAAGCTACAAGCCATTTGAAAACATCACTCAGTCCATCTCTCTACCTAGAGGCAAGATAAATTAGATATAAATTAGATATAAATTATTCTAAAAATGTATAAACCTATTCTGTTTTCCTCCACGAATAAAAAGCACCAGAAAGTATAAACAAGTCTTAAAGGTTTTGAGACTGTATTGAGACTGTATTTTATTTCTCTTGTTCTACAGATATGCTGCAATAAGGATGGGAACAAACCCACACAAGACTAATAAATAAACATGTGGAATTTTTGTTCATTTATAAGCTTTCACCCAAGGTAATGAAAATATTTTTAAGACATACTTGCTGCAAAATAGATTTTTTAGGAGCTGCTTTAGTTAAGAGAAACCACCAACTTATCTATTTCTATTCTCACTGCATTTGAAGGGTAAGTGGCAATGATAAAGATACAGCATACTTTTGAGAAGTTACTAATGAGAGATGAGATGTGGACGACGACTCAAGAGCTTAAGAGAACACAATCAACCATTCAAGCTCATTGAAAAATTCAAGAGGTTCTCAAGCTTGAAATAATATCTTGATAAATAAGTAGCATTCTGAAAAAAATGTATTAATTTCATACATTTTTGACAATACTGGAGTATTTTTAACTTTAAACTTTTTCACAAAGTGATAAATAAAGCAAATACCCTACTTACTAAAACAAGATGAAGAAACAAATTGGTTTTACCCAGTTCCACATAAATAACACAGCGCTTTATCCAGACAATCTCTAAAAACCTCCAGCCATGAAGACTGTACCTGTGTGAGCAACCTTTTCCAATGCCTACCATTCATAAAAATCTTGCTAAAAGGCTGGAAAAATGAGATAATGTGTAATCTTCCCATTTAAGTTACAATTGTTTAATAAATTTGCGTTTAGGTTCAAACTGTGAGAGAGCAGAAAAGGCCAGCTGGTTCTGCAAGGGAAATGAGCACGAAAGCAAGGTAGGTGAGAGCAGTAAGTCAGGACTGTTCAGTGGCCATGTCCAGGTCAGGGCTGGATGTGGAGACAGTGATCAGGGCCAGATGTAATCCAGGGATTGCAAGCCTGTAGTGAAAAGGCAGGTCCAAGATTAGGCCAAACAGCCCAGCCACCATGTCCAGGTCTAGGTCAGGATCAAGAAAGTACAGGACAGGCAAAGACTCCCCTGCTCACCCAGCTGTGATATCCCAACAGCTCTCCACAAAGGAGATGACACTGAACTCTCCTAACTAGAGAGAAGATGCAATCAGGGTCCTGAGACAGATGAAGCGTAGAATGCAAAACCGAGCGTAAGATCAAGGCATTTGTTTCCAACCTGCCCTTAATTTGGGGTGATTCTTTCCTACTTATGTTCAAAATAAAAAAATTAGCTTCCATACCCATGCACTTCATTTTTTACCCCACATTCACCAGTTATACCAGCTGAGTAATGAAAAATAGTATCTGCTCCTATGAACCTTGCTTACTCTGTACACTTAGGATTTTCACAGCTCTTCTTCCATAAAGTCTAGAAGGACCCTATGGTATTTTTTTGGAAGAACACTGCCTCATTCATTAAATACGCTATCCTGAACAAGGCTATTTTTAGTCAGTATCATATTCAAAAGGCCAGCACTTCCATTCCACACTCAGCAAGACAGAGTTACTGCTTTTGTCATTACGCACCCCCTTGTCTACCAAGATTTAATAAGGCTCAGCAACATGGGCAAAGAAGTCTCATTCTTTTCCCAATCAAACCAAGACATGTGCAAAAAGCAGTCCTCCAACTCTCTCTCCTATTTCCAGATGGAAGCGCTTCATATTTAGTTTATATTTTTCTTCTCCTGCCTCATTTAGCTAGCACAGTTTAAATTTAGTATCCAATCTGATCGACATCAACAACAAATTTCAGTGTGAATCATAAACCTGCTATCATTTTTATATGCTACATTAGATCTTTATGACTGCCTGGAAATTAAAACCCCAGCACCACTCTAAACCCAGTCAGCTTCATGGTGACAGCTCTAGAAACCACAGGGAAAAAATGTAAGGGAAGAATTTAAATCTATACCAGCAGTGCACATGATACCTAAAAATACATTTGTGCTTCCTTCACATCTTGGAATTCCAGCATCAAAAATCAGCCATTCAAAACATAAGGCCTCAGTGCTCATAGTCATGGTCATGGACAGGACAAGGTAAATGCTAAATCTGGTGCAGCTGCACATCACTCAGTAGGAATGGTGGCACTTCAGTGGAAGGCACAGAACTAAGGAGGGGATCTGTAAGCCATCACCAAGCAAAGACCTTCCTGGTTTTCCCACAAGGTAAAGGAAAAAAGATTAAATGGCTTATTCAGGCAACTAAAATCTGTTACTAAACCAGCACGGGCACTTTCAGAGTTCTACCTTTCATCACCCAGTTAAGGAAAAGCTGGAAAACGTACAAAACCGCATGAAATCACCTATGGTTTCACTCAGGGTCACTTGCCTATGGTATGCCTGAGATATACAATGGATATACTTAAAGTCTGACTGCCTGCATTTGTCACAAGAGGTGTGAGCAAACAGGAAAACTGCACTGCCATGAGAAGAGACTGTTTGGAACACACCTGAAAGGGAGGTTGCCTCTTTGTGTTTGGGAGAGGGGAGTCCCAGTGCAGGGGATAGATTTTTTTTCCAAAACAGGTATAGAAAATGGTGTAGAAATTGGTAAATGTTCACCTGTTGTATACCTGGTATGGATCCTGCATCTGTAGTTCAGCGACTGACAGTTAATTATCAATATATAATTGTCAGTTAATTATGTGTCACTAATAAAACAATAAGACACTTCAATCCTGACTTTAAGCTACACAAACTGAGCAATTTTTTCCTTGCAACAAGTCATTCTGAACTCAAAGGAAAGGAAACGAGAAACTTAAATGTATATATATTTTAAAAAAACAATTAATGAAGCAGTGGGGTTTTTTAAGGTTGCCAGCTTTTTAATTTTACCTGGCAGTGCAGATCAGAATGCTGCATAGTGAGCAAAACAGCATAAAAAGGTCATGAAATGAAACATAATTTCTGGAGGAAGTTTCTTCTATTCTTGGATCTACAGTCCCAGACTGGAAAAGCTATTCTGAGAATAAATTGAGAGAAATTTACCAAATGAAGAGAGAGAGCATTAATTAGATTTTGAGGGGCCTTTGTAACATCTGTAGGTTTATGAACTACCAGCTCAACCATTCTGCTTTTCTATGCTAATATTTTGTACATCAGATAACTGTTTTCAATTGTGAACAGCAAAAAACCCTCTCCCTCTAAGCCTTGTATGATTTAATTTGTTTCTTTCCATGCCTCCAGAACAGTTTTTTTGTTCTTCAATAAAAGAACAAAGGTAACATCCAAAGACTGGTATTTTGGTCAAACTCTTAATCTCCATTCTAAAAAGGGCATCTAATGTAAATGTACTTACAACACTTTTAAAAGAGAACTGAAAACTTGTTCTCTAAGGAAGAGGGGGTGTGAAAGAAAATCCCATCTGTCTGGACTCTTAAAAGCACTTTTCCTTTAGCAGAATTGATTTCTCTATTTCTGAAACATCTCTAAGATGCTTTGAAAATAGAAAAAAAAAAATAGAGATAAAGAGATAAAATAGAGAAGTAGGCCCCAATCACAATTCTTCTTTCTGTTCTACTACAATTCGTTTGCCATTTTTATCAGTCTTGGGCATGGTGACTGCACCCACATACCTTAGTTTTCCAAGTAGACAAACATAAAAAATATTTTTTTGTAAAAGACTGTTTGCATGTCCTTCTAAAATGGATACATTTAAAAAAACTCCTATGCTAAAGAGATTTAAGAATTTGTCAGAATTTTTGCTAAGCTGTTTCTAAATCACGGAGTCACAGAAGCTACTGAGTTGGAAGGGACCCACAAGGACCATCGAGTCCAACCCTTAGCCCTGGAAATGGAAAGACATATCAAGCTCCTGACAGGTCTAATAACTCATTTCTGGAAAATGTGTACAGCTGTTCCAAATTTCAGGTAAATTCTTCCAGAAAAGTTATTCCCAAATTTTTGGCATCACTTAGATCAGAGAAGATACAAAATTTAGCCTTCCATTATACTTCCATAACAAAACCATTTTTTCAGGAAGTCCTTATTTTCTATTCCATCGTACCATACTGGCTGCAGATACATGGGTTACATATATCTAATGGACTTTCACCTCACGAGAGCTTTTAAGACCATCTCTCACCACATCCCCAGCGACAAACTGATGCAGCCCAGGCTAGGAAAGTTGATAGTCAGGTAGACTTAAAATTGCTCAAATGCTGAGCTCACAGGGTTGCCATCAGCAGCACAAAGTCCACCTGGAGGCCAATCACTAGTGATGAGCCACAAGGACTGACACAGGAGCTGATACTGTTTAACATCTTCACTAATTACCTGAACGATGGGGCACACTGTCCCCTCAGGAAGTGCACACGCAATACAGAACTGGGAGGAGTGCTCGATACAGCAGATGGGTCTGCAAATGGGTCTGCTGCCACTCAACACCTTGACTGACTATAGAAATGGACTGACAAGAAACTCAGGAAGTTCAGCACAAGGAAATAGCAAATCCAGTACTTGGGGAGGAATAAAGCTATGCCTTTCCTCACACTGGGAACTAACTGTATGGAAAGCAACTTGGAAGAGATCACCTAGTTATTTGTCCTTTGTGCAGAGCCTCACTAGCTGGTTGAGGTAGATGCTCTATTCCTTCTACTAACCCAGATCACATTTGGGTGCCTGGGTTCAGTTCTGGCCTTGCCACCACAAGAAAGCCATGCGTGTACTGGAGAATGTCCACTGAAGCACCAGATGAAGCACGGAAATGATGATGGGAAGAAAGAATCTGTGATACAAACAACTATGTAGAAGAGCTAGGTCTGTTTACTCTCAAGAGAAGAAAGCTCAAAGGATCATAACAATGTGTATAAATAACCGATGAGGGGGTAGTACAGAAAACGCAGTCAGACTCTGACCTTCTAAGTCACTCAAGGGTGACTAGCAAAAGGATAAAAAGCAACACACACAAACTGAAATACAAGTTCTGTTTAAACACCAAAAAAAGCTTTTTTATTGGCTAGGCTGGTCAAGCACTGGGACCAAATGCCCAGAGAGCTTGCAGAGTCTTCATCCTTTGAGATATTTAAAATGGGGAGTGGACATAGTCCAGACCAACCTAATCTATTTGACCTGCTCTTGGATGGGGGGAGGTTGGACTCAGTGTCTCAGTACCCTTCAGCCTCCTACCAGCCACACTAAGAGCTGCTCTCAGAAGGCCGTAATCAAAGCTGACTGGTGAACAGTAACATTCAAAGCATGCAAAAGCCATTCAACCAGGAAATGCTATGTTCTCTGAGCAGGAAAACTGGGTAGGAAGGGAAGAATCATGATGACCTTACCTTTGTCAGCAATATCCTATCTGGACATGTACTGCCAGAGCAAAGTCAAGCCAATCCTCAGTCTGTAGTTACAGAGTAGGACATACCCTAAGCTTGACCACAGTTTTAACATCCCCAGCCACAGCTTAGAAGCAAAGTCAACACAGGTCTCACCGTGAACTTTTGCAACAAATCAGAAAACCTCTCCTCCTAAATCAGAAATAACCTGATTCCCAACCTAACAAATTTAACTTTAGATAGCCTGCTACACTGTTTCCAATGTTATTACACACAAAGATCCTGTTCAATGATAAAGGTCCTTCCCTTCCATGCACAGGAAAGTTTTTATGGAATTTCAACTTTATTTGCAATGCAGACAACTATGTTATTGAAATCAGCAAGGCTCCTCAGGAAAGAAGATACAATTTGATATAATAAGTAATAAAATTAGTTTGATACTCACAAGAGATACTACATGTCACAGTCTTAAACTGCATGTAGGCCTATTTTGATGCAACTAAAGGCTTGTAATGCTCAAGAATCAGTGACAAACAGCCATCTGCCTTTTAATGGTATTAATCAACTTAGATAATAACTTCTAATTAATTATCACCTGAACAATATTTATGAGGCCCATTAACAGACCAAAATCATGCTGGTATAGGTACCTGATCCTTGCAACACTTTGGAAATCTATTTTGAGGATGAGACATCAAGGTATGCATCTTTCCCTGATTCTAAAACCAAAATGTTAATAAAACAATCAGAAATTAAACCCTTCTGAGGACTGACTAAACTCTTCCACTCTAATATTTAGTTAGCATTTTATTTACAATGGCCAATATCTCTTTGAAAATTTATTCCCCCTCCCACCTCTGAGAGTATTCAGCTTACCTGAAAATAGAAGAAAGCTTGGCCAAACCAGTAGTGCATGATAGTAATCTGTGCCGCATCGAACTTCAGAGGTCTCCAAATGTATTTTGTCATCATTGTCTGAATCAGCAGGCAAAACACCAAGACTGGTAAATTGTGGGGTCTAAATAGAAGGGCTGCTAGTAGAACCAATCCGCTATATACTTCCCATAATCCTGTGCTCTTCGTGCTGGAGTCTGCAGAAATAACCTGTGACTTTAGTAAATCTTTAGTGCCAGTGAAGACTATGCCAAGAACAAAGACATAAACAAAACGAGCTTCAGTGATCCCCCTAAAGAGAAAATAAAATTGGAAAATAAATAAATAAATAAATAAATAAATAAATAAATAAATAAATAAATAAATAAATAAATAAATAAATAAATCAGAAAGATGAATTATTTACTAACACCTATTTCACAGAGCCTTTCAGGAGAGGTCAAGACCAACCAGTTCTGTCAAACAGATCAAAATCTAAGGCTGGTACTGGCCAACTTCCTGAGAGAGCTTTGTCACATACAAAAACCCTAGGAAGGGTTCATACTTGAATTAAAACAACTCCAAATCAACTTTAGCAAAGAAAAAAGCTTGAGCTAAAAATCTAAACTAATCTAAAATAAAAAATAAAATTGTATTTCACAGATTTCACAGAATATGCTGATTGGAAGGGATCCACAGGGATCATCAAGTCCAACTCTTAAGTCATTCTCCCATACAAGGATCGAACAACTAATGTAACCGAAGTAAATTTCCACTAATACTATTCAAGATCTAGATTCATAAATATATACATATACATATGCCATTTATAGAGCATAATGAATGTTAATAAAAAAATACTCCTTCACGAGATACGGAAACTTTATTTCAGAAATTAAATTGACTTAAAAATTCCTATATCTTTTAAGCTGTTCAGTGATTTTTCACAACTCATTCACACAAATATGGGTTTTTTTTAGCCCACTAAAACAACAGTGACAGTATTTGAAGATCCTTATTTCAGTCTGAAATCTTTGCACACTTCAGGCAGACCTTACACAGCTGCATAGATACACATTGGTGCTGGCTTATACCAGCTCATTTTTACCTTGTTAAGTGCACAGACTTTTGAAATCCATTTGAAAAGCAATTCCATTACCAAAAAAAAAAAAAAAAAATTAAATGTTTTAAGTATTAAGTGTAATTGGCATTTATGCTATTTTCAAACCACCTATTAATTCATTTGCCTCTTAATTACCAATGCAAGGCAGCTTCTGAATAAAACACAGCATGTAGTCTAAAAAGCTGACAAGGACCAGTAAGCTTAAAAACTGACCTGCTATTCTAGAAGTGCAAGGTCTGACAAACTAAGAAAGTGTAAGCAAATATTCATCAAAATGTAGTGACATTCTCATGTTTTCTGGGCAAAAAAACCCCAGATCATATTAGTGTAGGCTAGGCTAGCAATAATCCATAGAATTCACCAAACAAGCACATGAGAAAAATCTCTGCTTACAGATCTATTTTATCTTGCAAAAGATAAAAATGCACATTATCTACATACTTCACCTGTAATTTAATATATATTATCCTTAGGTTTCACAGGATCACAGACTCACAGAATAGGTCAGGTTGAAAGAGACTACAGAGGGTTCTCTGGTCCAACCTCCAGCAAGTTGGTCCCCCAAAACCAGGTGCAGGACTCTGTATTTGCCTTTATTGGAATTTCTGAAGGTTCTTCTGTGCACAACTCTCCAACCTGTCAAGGTCCTTCTGAAGGGCTGCACAGCCCTCAGGGGTGCTGGCCACTCCTCCCAGCTTTGTATCATCAGTGAACTTTCTGAGGAGGCCTCTGCCCCTTCATCCAAGTCATTAATGAACAAGTTAAACAATTCTCGGACCAGTATTGAAACTTGGGGGACACCACTAGTGACAGACCTCCAACTAGACCCTGTGCCACTGATCATGACACTCTGGGATCTGCATTCAGCCATTTCTCAATCCACCTCACTGTCCTCTCATCCTGTTCACATTTCCTGAGTTTGCCTATGAGGATGTCATGAGAGACCATATGAAAAGCCTTGCTGAAGTCAAGGTTGAAAATATCCACTGCTCTCCTCTCATCCATCCAGGTAGTTGTCTTTTGTAGAAGGCAAGTCATATTTGTTAAGAACGATCTACTATTAGTGAATCCATGATGACTACTCATGATCATCTTTTTTTCATCCATGTGGGTAGAGATGGCCTCCAGAATGAGGTGTTCCATCACTTTTCCAAGGATTGAGGTGGCCAGTGAAGCCCTCCTTGAAGACAGGCGTGACATTTGCCTTCTTCCAGCCCTCAGGCACCTCTCCTGATCACCACGACCTTACAAAGGTTATCACGAGTGGCCTTGCTGTGGTGCCCTCCAGCTCTCCCAGCACTCAGGGATGCATCCCATCAGGGCCCATGGATTTGTGGATGCCACGTTTGTGTAGGTGTTCTCTAACCCAATTCTCCTTGACCAAGGGAAAGTCTTCCTTTCAACATTACTTTACCTGGTCTCCTGGGTCAGAGATTCCTGAGGGTTGGTCTTGTCAGTGAAGACAGAAGCAAAGAAGGTGTTCAGTAACTCTGTCTTCTCTGCATCCTCTGTTACTACCAGCGTCCCCCATCCATTTAGGAATGGGCCCACGTTATCCTTTGTTTTCCTTTTGTCATTGATGTATTTGAAGAAGCCCTTCATTTTCTCCTTGACATCTCTGGACAGATTTAATTCCAGGTGGGCCTTGGTCTTCCTTGTCTCATTTCTACCTACTCTGACAACCTCTCTACATTAATTCCAAGAGACCTGGCTCTGCTTCCTTCTCCTGTGTACTTCCTGCTTACACTTGAGCAATGACAGGAGTTCCTCATTCGTCATCAGGATGTGTCATTCTTAAGTAATCCTTGAACATCAACCAGCTGTCTTGGACCCTGTAGGGCCTGTGGGATACTTCCAAGAAGATCCCTAGAGAAGCTAAAGTTAGCTCTCCTGAAGTCTGTGATTGCTTGCTGCCCTGCTTCCTCTTCACCCAAAACTGAACTCCACAAGCTCATGGTCACTGCAGCCAAGGCTGCCTCCAACCTTCCCATCTCCCTGTTTGTCAGTATGAGGCTGAACATCCTGGTGGGATCCTCCACTACCTGTGTCAGGGAGGTGTCATCAGTGCTCTCCAGGAACCTCCTGGACTGTTTGTGCTTTGCTGTGTTTCATCTCCAGTAGATGTCAGGGTTAATGTCCCACACAAGAGCCAGTGACTGTGACCCTGAGGCTGCTTCAAGCTGCCTGTAGAAGTTCTCAATCTCTTTCTCCTCTTGATCAGACAGCCCGTAGCAAACACCCACAATGTCACCCTCACTAGTCTGCTCTTTTATCCTCACCCATAAGCTTGTGATTTGCTTGTCATCCATCCCAAGACAGAGCTTGATACATTTCAAGTGTTTGGCTCACATAGAGGGAAACTGTCACTATGCCTTCCTGGCCCATCTTTCCTAAACAGCGTGTGGCCCCTCATGACAACATTCCAGTCAGGTCAGCTATCCCAGCACATCTCCATAATCGCAGTGAGATCAAAGCTCTGTGACTGCTCACAGATCTCTAGTTCCTCCAGTTTGTTCCCTACACTGCACTGGTGTATAGGTTCTATATAGAAGTATTTTCTATATAGAAGTATTTGATTTGTGTCATTATCCGAGTGGGGGGTGCAAAGGGACAACCCATAGTCCTGTCCTGTGGTTATGTATTTGGTTGCCTGTGTTTGCCCAAGGTATCCCCTCTTAGGACTCCTTTTGCTACTTGTGTGGTTGCTATAGTCCTCCCCTCCCCTTCCACACCTTATCTCTCTCAAGCCCAGCTATGTCCCTGTACCCCTTGAAGTCTAGTTTAAAGCTCTCTCAAGGAGTCCTGCTAACTCCTAACCTGCGATTTCCTCTTTGAGATCAGTGGGCAGGTGTTGCCAGCAGGATCAGTGTCATATAAACCAGTCCATGACCAAAACCCTCAAAATTCTGCTGGTAACACCAGTTTCAAAACCAGGTGTTCATCTGCATGATTTTCCTGTTTCTTGCCCCATCAATCTCTGCAACTGGTAAGACAGATGAGAACAAGATTTGCGCTCCAGATCCCTTGACCAAGGGCCTGAGACCCCTATTGGCTGTCCACAGACTTCTAGTTAGAACTTTGTTGTTGTCTGCCTGGAAAACCAGAAGTGGGTAATAATAATGGCTGTACCAGGCTGGGAAGTTTCTTGTTGATGTCCCTTACCCTGGCCCCTGGGAGGCAACACACCTCCCTACAGATTGGGTCCAGTCAGTCTATCGGGCCCTCCATTCCTCTCAGAGGGAATCACCAGTAACTACTACCCTTCTTTTTCTTTTAACTGAGGAGGTTGTGATGCAGGGGGTGAGCTGCCCTGCCCTAAGCAACCTCTTCAACCTGGATGGACCTTCATTCACATTCGCATTTCTCTGGTCCTCAGATTCCAGGGCCTCTTATCTATTGTGGAAGAGATAAGGTAGGTCAACAACTTGGGAAGATGAGGTAGATCAGGAGGAAATTCCCCCAATATTAGAGCAGAAAGCCATTTCCATTGCCCTCCATCCCTAAGTTCCTTCTGGCTGCTGGTGAGAGGGTGGAAGAACCCATCACTTCTTGTGAAGTGGATGGTGGTTCTGTCGGTCTAAAGCACGGTAGACTGCAGCTCCACGAGTCAAACTCTTACTACCAATCACTTTTTACATCAGTAATGAGTGAACATGGTCTCCTACAAAGTTAATATAATTCGCTCAGAAGTGAGGATTCTTGAGTCATCAGGACTTAGTAATATATGGAGGATTAGACCAGGACTCTAAAAATAGTAAAAGTATAGTTATACTCATCTGAGCAGTGTAACTAGCTGACCACAACAAAACTCCACTAGTCAGAATTTCTAAAAATAAGTTTTATCAATAAAACATAATTTTATCAAGAATTAAACTTTAATTATTTTTTCATTCTTTGGAAGGTCACCGTCCTCAACCAATTACTGAGAAATAAGCTTGAATTCAATCCTCCTTTTCACAAACAGGAAAGAAAAAGCAACAGGACAACTAATAAGCAAGAGCATTTTCACGTTCAGTTTTCTTTTTGCATCCACAGAACCAAGAAAAAAAGGCAAAACCACCACACAACACTGATGTGGCCCTCCTAAAGCTGAATACAATACAGTGTTCTGTGGTTTAGGTTTCAAAGGTTCACAATTATACCTAATGACCCTTCTAAAAAGGTTTTACTATTTTATACCTTAAACAGCAAGCCCTTGTAAAATCCCTGTAAGGCCCATTGGCTTTTTCTTTTTTGGGGGGGAAAAAAAAAAAAAAGTAAAAACCAGTGAAGTTTAGAGAGTTCTTCTGTTTCTGGTTAATGCAGAAACTCAGTGACCTTTTTCAGTGTCTCTGATAACTCTGAATATTTATATTTTTTGGTAATAATTACACCAAATATATTCATATGAATATAGAAATAATATGAATATGAATATAGAAATTAGAAATAAAACTTTAGGAACCAGCTTTGGGTATAGGTCTATTAAATGAGTTAAGTGAGAACTGAAATTAAGCAGTTGATGCAAATTCAAATTAAAAAAAAATTTTTAGCAGGAAATGCACTACTATTATTTTGTGTTAGTACAGTATATACTCATCTTTTTCATTTCTCAAAATATAATTTTTAAAAATAACTGTGAGGAAAACTTAAGGCCAAATTACTTCTTTGCATTTTTTTAGTTTAGAGATTTTTGTTAGGGTAAGCCACAGAACACACAGAACTCTTAAATTGCCTCTTCTCCCTCATCCACCTTCCAGCAATTGTAACATTAAGAGAAAATCTGCAGTAAAGGGTACAGAGGGGGAGTATTACAGAGTAAAGAGCCTCCATTTTACAGAAGAATGAATTATGCATGAAAAACGCAGTGGCTGCCTACAGCTTTTACTGATATTACACAAAACTACCTCTACCTTGCACCTGGATCAGAAGTTACTCCAGATCGTGAATGCACTAACAATAACTAGACACATGTAAAAGAAAGTCCTGGGTTTGTTCCCAGTGGCATTTTAAGCAGGCTTTTACCAAATATATCACATCAGGAATATAACAGAGATGACTTGGCATCACTATGTCGACACTCCACCTATCATCTGAAACCTATTAAGTTGTGTCTACCATCTTTTTTGACGTGCTGTCTTGGGAGCCTTGCTGAAGGTGAGTTAGTCATCTTGGGCAAACCAGGTCTCTCTCTGTCAGGCCTCATACTTTACACCTGAGAAGCCAATGTGTTAGCACGAGTGGTGGCTGCAGAGGACCAGGCTGGAACCCCTAGGCCAGCCTGTGCTGTGAACTGATAGGTACCAGGACAATGTTCTGACCTGGCAGCAGTAGACACATGGGTTTGTTTTGGATTGTTTGGCGTTCTGCTTTTACGAAAGGCACCATGGTACGTGGGAGGGAGGCAGAACCTCTCCTCAGATGGGACCCGTGTGCCACAGCGTGCCGTGGGAAGATTCATCTGGGCTTTATATAAAGCTCTGACATAATTTTAGCAAATCACCACATGAACTATTTATTTAAGGTGAAATAATATGAAAAGCCCTTATGCTTTTTGTATTAATACGATCAATATGCTGACTACACAATGACCAAGTTTTAAATAAATGTTTGACTTCAGTATTGAAGTACTCCACTTATTTTTCTAATCGTATTTTATTTGTGGCTCAATTGCTGTATTTAATGTTCTGTCCCACGCTGCAGTATTTAGTTCTTATTGCAAGAACAGTCTTATTCTCTAAAGATTTTACCCAAACACAAAGCAAACCTAGAGATTACACTCAAAAATCAAGTATGTTTCAAACATAGAGCCAAATCCTGCAGACTAAGTAAAGATTATCATTATTTTCTCATACAGCAGCACTAACACACAATGTTAACACTAGGATACAACCAGAACTATCTTCAATATTTGGAAAGAGGGACTGTATGTAAATATATCCAGATACACATACATACAAATATTTATTGTAAAACATGCCATGTTAGCAAACCTGATTTTTCCATATGTCCTAAGGTCTTACCCTGAAGGGCTTTTTCTATCTCTGCACATCTTGTAAATCTCCAGTGCGTGACTAAGAAGCTCCAACAGAAACCAATTGTATTCATATGAAATTCAAAATGAGTGCAAGAGGAAGTTTACTACATCCAGAAGACAATGGTTTCAACAACATCTCTTCCATTATCTCTTCCCCTTCATCAAATGTTGTAACAGACTCTGGAAGTTTTTTTTACAGCTCTCTGACATTTAGCAAAACGTGAGGCTGCAGAGCCTCAGGTACAATCCAACAGGGAAAAGTAGGATAAGAAAACTGAAACCTCTTAGCCACGTTCCAGAAGGGGTCACTAGCAAAAGAGCTAATAGCTTCCTTGCAGTTACAGACTAGCTCTAAGAAACTTAACATCAGCCGAAAAGTCCTTAGTATGCACTGTGCTGTGCAGATGAGACCTCAAGAAGGACGTGTTTACATCTTGAAAGCCCAGATATTACAGAAGACTCAAATGGAAAAGCAAGGTATGGAAAAGCAGCTCTCTGAACTACTGCCTAAGCATTTCTGAAACTAAGAAGTAGCTAAATGAGCTTCGCAAGTGCTCTGGTAAGCACGGCAAGTCCATCTAAAGCAAGAGGAGTCGGTGCATTTGGAGTTTCATTTTAACAAAAATATAGGGTATGACTACTAGATTTTCCTCGTATTAATTTTTATCTGACTGGCTCCTGATCTGTCACAGTCAAAAGACACTTAACTTGGGCTTAAAATTAAGCACACACAACAAAACCTGAGTGCTGGTCACCTACACAACTAGAGTTCCATTCATAACAATGTAATTCCAACCCAGACATCATGCCCCCTCCACCTTCATCCCCTGATATCCAAAGTGTTAACACCTTGCTAGAAACAGTGTTACAGATCTGTTGATTAACTTACTTTGAAATATCTTTGCCACCATGTTGCCATGGAAATATGACATTTCCAACAGCTGCCCGGTAACTGTAGACTCCCAGGAGCCCGAGTGCCATAGCAATTTTTGAAACCAGGGAGCATCTTCTTTGAACCAGAAAGAAGATCATAAGTAGGGAGACTGCAGCCAAGAAGGAGAGTTCAGGTTTATGTTCAGAGCTGGGAAAAAAACAAACAAACAAAAAACCTCCTTTAAAACATAAATTAGAGCTAAACACATTAGCTACAGCAGCGTATTAATCAATTAATAAACTGTATCAATTAATGCAGCACCAAATTAATCACTGCACTGATATTTGTTATGAAGTTGCTGAGAGGTATGGTAAAATATTTCAGTATTTCTAGAAAAACAGTTTTATTAATAAGGTTTTCTATTCAGGTACACATATTTAAAAGTGTAATTATTGTGTTCCACCATATGCTAGTTATTCTGTTAATTATATAAAAACTGAGCTGTATATTGCATCATGAAAAAGGGTCTAATGCTTTTAAACTAGGGTTTTGTTGTTTATACATTCTGAAAGAGTGCATTTGGTTTATACTACAATATTTTATTTTCTAGCAAAATGAAAAAGATTTTTGCATTGCCAGATTAGAACTACTCTGTCTTCTCAAGTAACAACACATGTATTTGATTTTGTTTAATTAATTTTAAACATAGAACACACTACCTACCCAGAATGTTATATATATTTATAAATATACTTACATAATTTACAACACACATATACAAATTCATTAGCACAATATGATTCCCTTATGCAGCTACAGCACTTTGTAGTATGTAAGAGAAAGACACAAAATTTGCATCATTGACAGAGACTATTAGAGATACAGTTTGTTTGTTCCTCTGCATCCTAGACAGAGGTAACATTCATTCCAGAATCAAGGGCATTTCACCGAGCATGCTGCCAATGTTATGTATTTAAATTTTCAGTAGTATAAATTAGCACTGCAAAATCTAATGGGGTAAAGTGAAGATCCGCACCCAACCCCTACCACAGTTACCTACACACTTTAATAAAGTCCATAGTAGTCCAAGAATTGCCAACCCATGCCTACTGCAAATATTCCCAGTATCCCAAATGATGTAAAACCACTAATTTGGTTAGATTTACCTTCTGTTAAGAACATCATGTAGATGGACTCCATCTTCTGCCTTCCACACTGAAGATGCCAAGATAAAAAATCACTAACTTCAGAAAACTAACAATGAGCCTGGGCCGTCATCTGCATTAAATGCCATCACACTTATGAAACTCTAGTTTTATCTCTGATTTAATAAAATTACTGTACTTCAAAGAGGATTACTTTCCTGTTCCTAGTATTTGGTTTATCATGGGTTTGACCAACAGCTGTTTCAGCTACTGCACTTGGAAAGTCACAGAGGAAAGGTTATGGGACAGAAAAAAAGTCCTGCTAATCCTCCGTGCAGGACCCAGTCTAGTAGTTCATAGAACTTAACAAGACTCCGAAGAGATGCACTGCTCTCTGCAAGCCAGTGGAGAAAAGCGAGAGAAACAAGATCTAGAACACTTTGGGAGAGAAAATGCAGTCTTGATGTTTCTCCTCACAATTCTTCTTTTTCTACATAAGCAGTCAGCAGAAGAACTGAATGGATTCCTGCAGCGACCCATGAAGACAGTGAAAGCACCATCTCTTATGATCAATACATAATTAACTTGGTAGCCATTGCACATTTCAAATGAACATTTTTGAAAATTTTAAGTTTTCAGGTCGTAATCTCCTTGGCTACTCATTGTATGAGAGCAAGTCACATCAGGAATAAATAACATCACATCATCATAATTTTATCTCTTTATCTAAAAAAATCAATACACTTTTGTCAAGAGACTCTTGCAGACAAAGCTAACACAGCAATAAAAAAAATTTTAAAAAGCCATTTCTGTCTTTCAGAAGTAACTGCTATTGCCATTTCAAGGCAGACACTCACTAACAGCTGCAATTCTTGCAGTGAACATCTGAATTCATACTCTAACACCCTCCCCCTGAGAAAATAGGGGCACAGCAAAGGTATATTCAAAGGCATGTGCACATCAGTCACATGGCTTTGCATTCTTGACTGCTAGCACAGGGGTTATATACAAATCTGTCCAGGTTTTCAGGTAACAGTCCTCTGTGATTTCTTTTGGGAATTTTTTTGAACCATATAAATCCACTCAAAAAAACCTATCCCAGTGTTTCATAGTGTTTGCTGAAGAAAGAAGAAATGGATTTATAGCAAGTGAAGTCAGGTCAGCATAAATCACCAACAGTTTCAATGTTCTCTAGCCAAGGTTCCTCCAGTTAGTCAGCTAAAAGCATATGTAATTAACATGTATTCTGAAAGGGGATGGTAGTTGCTCAACACAGACACAGAGACTCCAGTCATCTAGCAAAATTCTGAATGATTTTGATAGTCTACTTAGAAATGCAAGCACAAACATGCTACCCTGATGTCAGCTGCAATGTAGTGGGTTTTGCCCAAACCACAAAATGAAGTGAAGAACCAACAGCTTCCTGAGAGAAAACCTGGTGAGAGGGGAAGGAAAAAAAGAGCACTTTGCCTATATCTTGTTACTGTAACATCTTGTGGACTACAGTCATACTTCTGGTAACAGAATCAAGGTTGAAGAAATTTCCTTCCACCTCTTTGACGTCACCTCACTACTGCAAGTACAAGTAGAGTGAAAGGAATTATAAATGCGCATGACTAATAGTAAAGTAGATAAGGCCTTTTTTATTTGTTGACTTTCATTTTACTGTGTACAACTGAATACACAGGAGTCACAAGGTATGCTAGCTTCAGGGGAAGGGAATTTGGGGATGGTTAAGTTATTAAGTTATTAAGATAATTAAAGGAAAATATTAGCATCTTCCCATGATGATGCTTCTTGTCACTTCTCTTCAAGGTGATGCTGCCATGTAGCAGCTCTGACACCTTTCAAGTATCAGTTCTGACCAAGATCACCAGCTAAATGAAGCTAACTAAATCCCAACTAATTAAAAAGAAAAACTGACTTCCAGTCAGATTTAGATTACATTTTCTCTTCCACTTCATCTACTTTTCTTTTGCTCTTTTTCCCCATCAAAGTATTTTTTCCTCTTTGTAGCAGATTTCACAGAGTCTGTCTGCAAATACCAAAGAACATTTTCCTTATTTCAGCACTGCTGAATGCATCCCTAGTAGCCAAATTCAATACACTACAGGCACACTGATTTTCTGTGTTTGGGTACTTACATTTTTCTATGGACAAACCTGGATAACAGTCTCTCTGTCTCAAATGCTGAGGGCACTAAGCACTGTCCAGATAAGCAAAATATTAGTCTGAGTATGAGCCCAGATGTCTAAAAGGTCAATATAGGGGAATAAAAAAAGAGGGCAGTTTGTTAATTAATTCATTTTAGAGACAAAATAATAGACTGGTTAGAAAAAGCCTGAATAGCTGCAACTCAAACTAACAAGGGTACAAACGATATGAGTAAAGTTCTAAATACTTATTAGTAAAAAGGGAGCTATTAAGACATAACTATGCAAATTAAACTCATGCTAAAAATAAAACAACAATCAACCTTACAGACTAGCAATGCATTTTGGGAAGAGGAATAAGTGCTTTATGCAACTCAGTTTATCACCAACTTTTAATTCATGCTGTTAAGGAAAACACATCACCTCAATCTTGATCAAAACACTTGGGAAACAGACATCTCTACCACCCTGTTCTCTTGTAAAGGAGAAGGAACAAAGACGTTAAAACCTCTAACCAAAGAAAATACAAACGTGTTTGCCAAATAGGAATTCACTAACACTTTAATAATAATAATGGCCAGTCTTCGCGAGCGAAGATCCGGGGAAGGTCTTTACACCTTCCAGCCTGCGCATTGGATTTTTTAGGTGAGACACAGTGTGCGCGGAACTGAGCCCACCCTTTAATCCTAAGGTTCATCTGCCGGGGCCAAGCGAGCTTGGACGGTGGCAGCGAGGTCCTTAGGACGTAGGTGGGTTGCCTTTAAGGGCTAACGAGCCCCACCTGCCCGGGAGTGGCCCTGACCGGGAATCGAACCCGGGTCTCCGCGGTGATAGTGCGGCGCCTTTACCACTAGACCACCAGGGGCTCCACTAACACTTTACAAACCCCAGGATGTGTAAAGATTTAGTTGCATCACTGACTGATCTTCCTGAAGTTTGTCCAGTGAACGACAGAACTCAAGAACTCAACTACCATCCCATCAGTCGAGTCCAAACTTCGTATACTTCAAATGCTGCTAATCTTTTAAACCTATAAAGCAACTGAAGTATACATCAGCATGGTGACATGTTGTATTCTCTTGTTAGGCTAAAAGCTGCTCCATTGTTAAAGTCAGGATATAGCTCCACAGCAGCCCAAGCCAGCCTGTGCCTGGGCTGCCAGGGTTCTGTTCTTTCACCTGCTGCCTAAACACATCAGTGAAAGGGAGAATGCTGAAGTGTGACAGCCCTAATCACATGCACTCTTAGCTTGCCACAGCACTCTGGACTCCTGTACAGTGTTTTTAAGCCCCCCAAAACACAAGTTTGTGAATCACTGCTTCTTTCTCAATCATATCTGAAAGGCATGCAGGTTCTTGTAAGGAACGCTTGACAATGGCAGAAAGAAAGAACGAACTCTTTATGTCTGCAGCGCTTCAAAAGATGCAGATACTTCCACATTCTGTTTCTACAGTAATTCCAACAACAGCAGTGTTGACTTGTACACTCTTCCCTTCCTGCATTCCTACTACTAGCCAGTCCATTTGCCTATGGAGCCTGATGGTAAATCAGGCTGTGATCCAGCAGAAAGCCAAGTGTTTCCCATGCCATCTTGAGTTATTTTTCCAGCCACATCTATTCAGTGATTTAGTTCACCATACTGACATGCAAACAGGTAAAATACAGGGTCAGTGAGGGGAAGAGTAAGAGAGCAAGTACCTTGCCTTGTGTGGCAAGAGCTCCTCCAATACCCTGTTACAGCCAAATAATCAGTCACAGCCTAAGAGTGTAGATGTACAACCTCTTCTCTTCTACTTGCTTCGAGACCCAAGCAAATATGCCCAATGTGAGGCCATAATTTGACAGAGAACACAGGGAGCAATTCACCTGTAAAATTCTGAAGCTTTTTGGCTTTTTGATATCTAGCTGCTGTACTTCAGCCTTACTGAAGGGGGAAGCAGATAGCTTCAATAAGAGGATTGCGATGGCTTTATGAAGGAGAATAATCAACCTGACAGACTCCTGTGATGAGATGACAAGCTCAGTGGAAGACTGTAAAGCAGTCAGGTGGACTGAAAACTACTCAAATGCTGGATTCACAGGGTTCCCATCAGAAGCACAAAGTCCACCTGAAGGCCAGTCGCTAGTTGTCAACCCCAGGACTTCACACTGGGGCCAGTGTCTACATTAATGACCTGAACGATGGGGCAGTGTCCCTTCAGGAAATCTGCACACAACACAGAACTGGGAGCAGTGGTTGGGAGAGTAGGTGGGTCTGCTGACACTCCAAGGCCCCTCGACAGGCTGGAGAAATGGCCCATCAGGGATTTCATGAAGTTCAACAAGGGCAAGAGGCAAGTCCTGCACCTTGGAACAAAGAGCTACACACATCAGGACAGATGGAGGCTGACCCTCTTTTCAGAGGTGGCTCTGAGCACCCTGATGAACTCCTGACTTGATAATCAGCATTCAACATGCCCTTGCAGCAAACACAACCAACAGCATTTGGAGCTGCATCATGAAAAACATTACCAGAAGACTGAGGAAGGCTGTTTCTTCCCCTGGTGTTCAACCCTGGGTCCAGTTATGGGTTACTCAGTACAGAGAAAGATATGGACATGTTCAAATTCACACAAATTCCAATTTATAGGGGCAAAAAACACAAAAATAACCTCCTCCGTCCCTTCTCCCCACTCCTTCCTCAACAACAACAGCAAAACCCCAGAGGAAGCCAGAACAGGTGTACAAAGCCCTGGGTTTACCTGAGTTGGTTGCTTGGAAGCTCCTGACAGGTAGTAGGTGTTAGACCTGGGTATATAGGATTTCCCAGGATTACCCAACTTTTGTTATAAATCAGGAAGCCCTGGAGGCACCTGCTCTATCTGCAAGCTATGCTCTACCTGTGCTATCTCCCTGAGACCCTACAGGCCAAGGCTGGAATAGGTTTTGCTGCTCTACAGACATACCTAGCACCGTGAAATCAGAGGCAGGAGCACATTAAACTGAAGCAGGATCTTTGGAAACCAAGTCCAAATGTGCACAGAATTTTTAGAAAGCTGGTAACATTTGCAAGAGTCAGTAAACAGTCCCAGTGCACCACATGAGTAAAAGCATATATCTGAAACAAACACAATTTTTTCAGCTGCAGGAGTATCAGGTCCTTGCTCCATGCCTTTGTGGCACCAGCACATTCCAAAGAAAAGGGTTGCCAGTCTGAAGAAAACATCTGGCCCAGGATTAACTGTCAAAATTCTCATGGTCCCACCAAATCACGCCCCATCCTGCTCACACATTGGCTTAGCTCAAAATGCAGGAGTTATCTATCATGTGGAGTTGATGTACAATATACAATATTCTTTCCTTGATCCCTCGCCTCATCTCAGGAGCACGAAGGCACAGTGAAAGCTCTGGTATAGAACAACCACTATATGCAATAAATCCCCTCCTAACTCATGTCTTTCAGCACTCATGCCTGTCACAGCAATTAGTATTTCATCTGTGAGGTTGCCAATAAATAACAAGTCTCATATTGGTCCATTTGCTCATGTCGTTTTTAATGAATGATGAATGACATTTCATCCATGTGTTGTAAGGAACTGGCAAGAAATCTATTTATCTTACACAGCACAGCCTCTTCATCTGCTGCCTGCAAAACCTTAGCTAGGCAGTCACAAGGTATTGCTTCTCCATCCACCAACTGAAGTACAGAAGACAGTTCAAATCTCGCGTAATTTTTATGGCTGAATAAAGACTGTAGTTCTGCAAAATACTAAGGTATTAGAAAAAGCAGAAGCTCTTCTCTGGTGTACTTCAAGTTACAAAAAAATTCCTCTTCTTGTTTATCATATTACACTCAAAAAATTCCTTCAGTTTTCCACCCACACGTTAAAAGCCTGTGATAGACAAATAAAAAAAATTCTACATGAAGCATCTTCTCCTGTGACTTCATAAAGTTCGGAATTCTGCAGAACCTTCCTGTCTTAATTTCAAGGGTTTAATTCTATTAAACGATTTTTAATTTCTCCAACCAGACAATCCTGACTTACATACGGAAAATATTTACTTTTTGCTTCTGATAAACCTATCGTGTATAATTGGCATTAATTAGATAAGTCATGGTGCGGGGCAAAGATTATGAACTACTGATAGTACACGAGGAATTTTACCTCACTATTTATCTGCTTTGCACGTTTGCAGCACCTTCTAATCACAGACTGCACAGAAACACATATGTACTTCACCAAATGAAACACACATTAGTTTTCAAATAAGGCAGAAGGAGTGACAGTAAATCAGATACCCACCTTGTCAACCAGTGTCCAAAGTCTGGCCGATGAGCCCACTGGACACCTGTCTGATTCAAGGATCGAAGCAGCCGACAGCAAATAAGGATGACCCATGGAGTTGCTACGCTTATCCATTTATATGATCCTTCCATGAATTCAGAGGAAGACGCGGCCTTGTCCAATTTTGAACTACCTGCTGCTGGAATGTCTATATTCTTGCACTCAGAGGTTTCCCCGAGACTATCAAAATTTTGCTTCACATTGGTGCTATGTTGAAGGTCACATTCTTTTAGAAGAAAATTATTTCTACAAAGCTCCTGACACAGCACCAAACAAAGCGTATTGATAAGAAAATACCAAGTTTGATGCTCCTCTTCTATGAAACTGCTTGCCCCCAAACTCAAAACATGGCCAATTGTTCCAGCCAGAATCAGCACATCTATTTCTGACCAACTAGAACTGGACACAACTGGATTCTGAAAAAAAACCAAAAAACAAAACAGGAGTGATGAAAGGATATAAAAATTTCTCATGTGTAAGTATTCACAGTGTGCTTACAGCAATTTCCTCTAAGAAAACAAAATAAATCATGAGACAAGTTATTTCTATCTTAACAAATCTCAAAAACTTACACAAGAATCATTTCAGTGTAGCATATTTAGCATAGTAATAATTTTTATAATTGCATTCTGTTTAAGGGATGAAACTTCTCTATGAATAATAATCATAACTGTACAGATTCCCTACCATCCTGTGACAGAAGGTTCTAAACAACTTCACTCCCTGTTGCACATTTGTAGAAGTAAAAATAGAAACCATGCAGAAATCAAACTTAAGATACAGATAATAAGTAATTTTCTAATAGTTTAAACCTGTGATATCCTCAGCACAATACAGTGACAGCCTTCGCTACTCAAATTAACAAAAGTTGCTGTCTGATGGCACCCCTTAACCTTGTCTAGCTTGAAATGCGTCTTTCATCATAAAATCTACTTTAAACCTTACCCATCTATTATTTACTTCACACACAGTGCCTACCTAAAACCACAATATTTTTTGTCTCATGTCTCCATTAGTGCGATTTCCTGTTCTCAGTGGATAATTGGAATTGCCTCATCATCACTACCCTCGACGATAGGGCTAAAAAGAGAGCGTAAGGGCGTGTGGAAGTTGTTGAGAGCACCCAGTTCATTGATGTTATCATGTAGAGAACCATTCAGCACACAGGGAAAGCCATAAAGAGATCACACAGAGACACAAACATGATAAGTAAGCACTAAGGGAGACCACAAAGATGACCAAAACTCTTCAGCCATTAACTGACAGGCCATTAGGAAATCACAGGCATAGCTCTGAAGAGCTTCAGTCTGGACTTTATAACAGATAAGGGGCGAGTGACAGACCACAGGTATTATGGATATCTGACATCTGGCCAACTCCTTAAGTAATGATACAGGAAGTGGTTAAAAGTGGGGAAAAGAGGGTGATGGGGAACAGGATGGAAGCAGAGAGCAAAGTGAGAGGAGAAAGGGTAAAGGAGCCAGTTACATACAAGCAGGAGCCAGTCAGTGCACTTTTCTGACTGAGCCTGGTCACTGTTGTCCATCCTGTCTTATTAAATCCTGTCCTATCTTATTTTGCAGCTCCCACCTGTGAGCACTGCGAGGTGCCGCTGCAAACAGCTGTGAAAAAGCCTGCATGTCAGCAACTTGAGCCCAGAGCAAGGAAAAGCAAATGCCAGCAGCTGGAGCAGGATCACGGATCACTGGACCCATACATCTGCAGTGCCAGTGACTGCAGCACGTGGCTGTCCATGTGCCAGAGTGACTGGACTGGGGACCACTGGCCATCAGGACTCTGAGCCCTCGGTGCCAGCAGCTGGAGAGGTCAGAGTGCAAGCAAGACAGGTCAGGGTGTCAGCGACAGGAAAAGTGACCCTGGATCACCAGAGGCAGGGACAGCTGGGCTCCAGCACCAAAGCAAGACAAACACTCCAGCCCTGGAGAACACCAAAGCCAGCAGGAGCTTCTTAACACACCTTAACAAACAGCATTACACACTTGTGAAGTATTTTGAGAAAAACACAGTCAAAATTATCTATTACCGTTTTATTTTCTCAATTTTTGTTCTATTAGAGAATATCACAAACTACTTCTTAAACTGGTATTTTAAGCACCCGATAACAATTTAAAAGCCAAATCAAAACTACTGCATGCCATTTTTACTTCAGAACAAAGATCTCTGAACCTACTGTCACATTCATTTCTTTAACCGCATATTTCAACCACATCATCCTCCTACATTTGACCTATGAACAAACTTTAAAAAAACATGGTGAATATTCACAGAGACAAAATTCACAGAGGAAATACTCTCGTTAAAAAATGCACAGTGTACTACAATTCCTGAACTGTTTCAATCATAGGTTAGAAGAATATCGAAACTCAATAATCTTGGAGCAGGTAACAAAAAAGCAGGTAAAAAGAAAGCAGGTGTAAAAAATACAAGTATCTCTGAGCATCTCAGATGCAAGTCTCACTTGTTTTTATGACTTACTGACAGCAGCATATGTACTTTTGTTTAATAAGCAGGACCATGTAACATGGAGAAGACAACAAACACACTGATGCAAAAACCTCATTAACCCTCTCTGGAATCAAAATTTTATGAAAGAATGCAGGAGGTATAGTTACAGTTATCACCTACTCACAGCCCTTTCATTTCCTCTTTTGTTAAAGAACACACTACACCAAAGTCATTTCACTTTAAAAAAAACCCAACAAACTACCCACAACAAAAAAAAGGTCCCATGAGGTTACACACAACATAATAGGGGGAAAAATATTAATAAACTAAAAAAAATGTCCAGGGCCAATCTAAATTTACTAGTATTTGAAATTTCTTTGGTGCTCAAAAGACCACTCTGGTTTGTTTAGTACTCTATTCTGAAAAGCAAATACCATAAGCTGGTATTTGGAATAAAAGGACAAGGTATTCTGTGCAAAGACCAAAGAGCACGAAATTTACAAAGCTGAGACAAGAACAGTACATGACTGAACTACCGAAAGTTTAAATTCCAATAATTCCATCATGCTGACCTTAAAGATCTTGGCTAACTAAATAATGAGCATGTAAGTATTATCTGCTTGAAAAGACAAAGGAATCTGAGATCCTCAATAAATGACAATGAACAAGTCTTTGATATGATTCATCTTCTTTATAAGACATAACAGAAAATCTATGGAATGGTTGGTCTCTTGTATCTGGTTGCTGTCAGTAACTGATATGAAAACTGAAGAAGTGATGCTTTATCAATAAGGAATACACAAAACTCTCATGAAAACAATGGCATTAGTGTGAAATGTCCCAGGGTCAAAATCTGTATTTCTTGCCTGCTTGTCTCTCACAACTCCAGTGAAAAGAGAAAAAAATTACTCCTACCTTCACATCAAAGGATTAAAATCCAATGCCATTTACTGATAAACCACATTTCAGATCAGAGTTAAATCACTACGCAAATTCAAAAATTAAGTTGCAAATTATAATCTCCTGAGCCTCGGTAATCTAAGAAATTCTGAAGATATCTCCATCGAGGTTTTCTAAATATACTGGCAATCCCTTACACAGGAACTGTGCTTTACTAGGTATGAGTCTGGTATCACATACAGTGTGACTTTAGAATACTTAGACTGTACTTAGTTCTTAGATGTGGTTTAAAGGCACAGAAATGCAGGTCTTACTCTGCTATTCACAGCTCTGTCTTTCTAGCTGCTGAGCACGTCCAACCCTCAGGAACTCAGCAGACATTCCAGACACTGGAAGACCTGTCTGATTCTAACCGATATCTTGGCAATCAAACTTAACAGAGAATCTTTTGTTCAGAAATTTATAAGTTCCAGCCTTCAAATCTAAGCATATGATCTCCCAAGCCAAGGCACCTTTAACAACCAATGTACCAGCATTAGCAATTAATACAGAAACTGACCTCTTGCCCTGTCTTTGAACATATCTTGCTAGCTCACAGAAATACCAGTACATAAATGATAAAATATGTGAATCTCTGACCAGTAAATTTTGAAACTTCTTCACTTTGAAATAAAACCTCCTGTAGTCTATCTTCTGCTCGGCTCAGCCAGACCCACCACAGCAAAGTACTGCAGATGACACTTGCTCCTACGTTTTCAAAGCAGTTTAGGATCATTTTTGAAAGCTATCTGGTAAAGACACCACCCAGTCACCCTTTTTCTCCCCCAAGTCAAAAAATGCCAAAAAAATTTTAGGTGTAACTCCATAAAAATGTATCACTGTTCAATTAACCAAGAATATCACATAGGGGAGGAACCCCAAAAATATTGTAAGATGAACAGGGTACTTCAAAATAAACCGAAAGAGGAACAATTTCTTTATGCAGTAAAAACCCACTATAATTCTGCATAATGAAAATTCTCAAAAACTGTATTTGACAAGCTTTAACTTTTGTGGTCTAGTTTCAAAACAACTTAGTTTTTATTTCTATCAGAAACAGGGAGATAAAACCCACAACTAGTAGTAGTAAATACCATACTTATGTCAACTACCAAGCAATTACAGTGAGGCTATGAACAAAAAGTTAAAATTTTTGATGATTTTTTTGAGCTCATAAAGGGCTGCAGAACTATTTAAAGCCTTAAGTATCATTAAAAGAAGGGACTGGTACTGCTAGAAACATAGCAATCAGAATCTATAAATAACAGTCAGGAAGCAGATGTTAACACTGCCTGCACTGGTCTTCAGAAAATTCATGAACTTGGTAATCAGTTTCTATATTCAGCCACAGTGGGAAAAAAAAGCATTACAAATGAGAAGCACTTCAGAGAAATCTTTAGATGTGAACGGAAACAATTTGAAGGAAAAAAGCTCTGAAGCCATTAACAGGAGAGCTTATCTTAATTACTTCTAAAATACCTACACTTTATCGTACAGCTTGAGCTTGGAAAAGGCTTTTTAGCCTTTTTTAGCCGGCAGAGACCGTGATTCAGGACTCTGCTCCTGCCATGGGAAGATCAGGGCTTCACAGCCCTTTCAGAAGTGGGCCCCATCCACAGATTCTCACCGTGGAGACGCGCACGTCACACACACTTGGATTTAGAGTTACTTTATCACAAGTGGCACTCCTAACTCACACAGAAGGCCCTCCAGGATCAACACAGAGCACACAAAGACAACCAGTTTCTCCCGCAGAGTCTAGGCATTCTTTTGGAAAGGGGGATGAAACGTTAATCAAAACCAGGTCACTGCTTTTACCCATGGCTGGAATGAAGCCTATCTGACTTTGGCGAGATGAGATGCACATCCAGCAATACAGTCACCTATGGAATAGGACTGAAGACAGAAGGACAAAAATGTATTTCTACAGGTCTGAATACAAAGTCATGTCTGCCCCGATCAGAATTACTATTACCTACACTTCATAAGACATGTTTAAGCTTTCCACATTGTCAGATATATCTCAAGGAGGAAAATGATCACAGACAGACCTGGGATAGAGAATCGAGTATTTTTTATTCCTACCTGCCCCAGCCTTGAAGAAACAAACACACACAAAACCCTGGAAAGCATTGCTGAAAACCTCCTCATTTGTGTACTATCAACTTGAAGCAGTTGATCCACTTCCAGTGAGGGTGGTGAGGCACTAGAACAGGTTGCCCAGAGAAGTTGTGGATACCTTATCCCTGGAAGTGTTCCGTGCCAGGCTGGAGGGGCTCTGAGCAAACTGGTCCAGTGAAAGCTATCCCTGACCAGAGAAAGGGTTTGGAACTGGATGATCTTTCAGGTCCCTTCCAACCCAGACCAGATATATTTTATAACTCTGATTCTATCCACCTGGGGAAGAAACTTATCACCTGTTGCAATTGGTCTCAATGCTATTGAAGTGGAATGCCCGTAAATTTTATGCAGGTCTAGAAAGTCATCATATTTAGATTCCTGTTGTCTACTAAAATTAGAAAAACTGGTAAAAAGATGGAAAAAAGTAAGTAAATGTGAGGTTTCTACAGAATACACTGAAGCATGAATTATTCCAATGCCGACGTCCACATCCATTCCAAGACCATATTATTTTTCCTTTTTCTAAAACTAATGTCTATCTCATTTACAATAAAATACAGAAAGCTAATAAGAACACTAAGCAGAACAAATCAGAAATGGCAAAAGTGAACTGAGTCCATTTAAAAAACAGCACATCCCTATGCTTGAACACAAGCCCTACGAGGAGAGGCTGAGGGAGCTGTTTAGTCTGGAGAAGAGGAGGCTCAGGGGAGATCTCATCACTCTCTACAACTCCCTGAGAGGAGGTTGTAGCCAGGTGGGGGTCGGTCTCTTCTCCCAGGCAGCTATCAGTAAGACAAAAGGGCATGGTCTTAAGCTCTGTCAGGGGAGGTTTAGGTTGGATGTTAGGAAGAAATTCTTTACAGAGAGGGTAATCAGACATTGGAATGGGCTGCTCAAGGAGGTGGTGGATTCTCAGTCCCTGGAGGTTTTTATGATGAGATTGGATGTGGCACTTAGTGCCATGATCTGGTAACTATGGCATCTACCAGACCATGGATCACTGGATTCACTTGGATCAAGGGTTGGACTTGATGATCTCAGAGGTCCTTTCCAACCTGGCTAATTCTATGATTCTATGATCACTGGTGCACGTTGTTGCAAAGTATACACATCTTGCTTCAACTGCAACTGCGAAACATCATCGTGTAACAACACGGAATTTGTACACAGCATAACTGTTTCCGATCTCATGAAGTCAAACGCAAAATATTTTATAATATTTACAACATTTCCTCAAGTAATGTCAAAATAAGCACTTCTGTGATCTTCATTGTGGCAATTGGTATCATGCCACAGTGAAAACACCACACTTCAATTACAACTTTAAATTATTCAAATTACATTACAAAATAAAAACTTCTTTAGGCACACAGAGAGAAAAACTTAACAAAATTTTAACTGAAAGCACACCATGAAAAGCAAAACATTTTGAACCATAATTAACACATGCTCTCACCTTCAGCGGAAGTCGGGAATTCTCATAGATCTTTGCAATAGCAGATAAAATACCACACATGAGTGCAGAAATCAGCATCATCACTCCAACTGCTGTTAGCCAGGACATACTGCAGAAATAGCACAAACTTTCTGCCGATGTGCATACAATGACATGAACTGCACACAGCATCAGACACATCAAATAAAACAGCAGAGAGAATAGTGGAGGGGAGAGCGGCACTTCAAATTCTGCCCGCTTGCTCAGGGCTTTTGGAACACTGAGCAAAAGCAGCAGCAGAACCTAGGGGAAAAAACCAGAGAATTAATACTTTAAAAACTGGGGTTAGCTAAAACATACAGTGAGAATTCACACAAAAAAAAAATCATGCTGTTGTCATCCATGTCACTCTGCTAGTACATAACTTCACAAAATAAAACCCCTGTGAAGAACTATGTAGAGGTTTTTTTCCCCAGTAAGGTATTTCCATATAAATGGGAGAATCCAAGATAGTGTTTTCATTTATTAAGGGCTTGGACACACCAGTTCCCACGTTTAATAAATTACCACTTGGATCCTCACTTGTGGTAACTGATAATATGTATGATCTTTATTCCCTGTAAAAGTAAGAGCTTTAACTCCCAACATCAAAATAGTTCCTAAGCAAACAAATTTGACCTATTACTTGTCGCCTATAAATGCCTGAAGTTACATGCACTCTATCAAAAGCAATTTACCTCCTTTATGAGAGATACACATATATGAGATCCTGCTGAGGTAAGCAGCTTCTCAAACCAGAGGAAATTCTCATACTATCACACAAGTGTATGCTGAATTTCAAGCTTATGAATTCTCTCATTATTTATTTTTTGTACCTCTCCTCATCTTAATTTGATTTATTGATTTTATTTTAACTTTGCCCTAACCTGCACACAGATCAGGCAGAATTCCAAGTTTTCTTTCGGGTAACTGCAGCAGTGGAGATGAATAATACAATGAAAATTTCTGCTACTTGTGTACAAACCTTTACAAAAAATAAGAAACTTCAGCCACATGCTAAAATGCTTTGCAAGCTGAACAGATGGAGCCAGGACTACACTGACCTCAATCAGCCTCTGCTAGGGCAAGATTAAAACAAATCAAGATAAAAACAGACTACTGCCAACCTGCAATCTTTCACTGTCACTTGTGAAGACCTCTGCCTAAATTTTTCCCACATTACAGTGAGATGCAGTAAAGTAGACCAAAAATCATCAAATGCATTGCACTCATCTGCTGCTTCATCATATTCTACTCCACATTTCATTTGGTCATGAAAATATACAGTTTCAGAGTAGCGAACTGGCTTGGGTCTTACATTTAACACAGAACTTAAAATTAAAACAAAGACAGCAGTCATGGTAGGAAGGCACCAGTTATCTACAAAACTAAATGTAGGTCTTTTGAGAAAGTGCATTATTATCAGTCCATGTCCCAGAGGTACCCTCCTCATCCAATAAACAGCACTTCTAGCACGGTGTATTTTGAAGTGACATATGAGTTTCACTACTGTTATTTATTCAGTGAAGGTGGAAAATATGTATCAAAAGAAAAAGATTTTGGAAAGCAAGGCAGTTTCTTGAGTATTACGCTGGATAAAATAAAAAAAACTCCAGTTGTTTTGCACCAAGTCTTGCAGTGATGCTGAGCACGCACTGCTCAACGAAAAATTGAAAATTTCCATGGTTAGTAAGCTGCATGTGTCTTTAACAAAGGTCCATTGAGAATAATACCTAAGATTTGTTTTCTAGAAACAGTAAGCATTTACAAACATTTCATGAGGTAAAAAATAATCCAGTGCTTCAGTTGCCCACAGCTTGAATACACAGGTTCCCAAAACAAAGGAACAAGAAAGAAATATGAGCACTTCAGCTTTGCACTGGACTTTGTCCATCTCCAGATCCTCCATCTGTAGAGCAGAACCCACCACCTCATCTACCCAAGGGCACAGTGGAACTCATCCCTGTGAGGTGATCAGCAGAGGGACAAACCCCACCAAGCAGTCTAACCACAAAGCCATTTCAGAAATACTCTGTATGCAAGGAGCAGAGCATAGGAGACAAGGCACAGATCCTTGCCAGGATAGAGGAAACTCAAATATTAATGAGCTGCTCACATGCTGTTATCTATTCCAGGCACTGAACAGTAAGAGAGTCTTGTACAGCACCACATTCAAGGACTAAGTTAAGCTTGTAGTAGGTACCTCCATCCTAGGGAAAAATGTTTTTACTTACAAAAGTTGACAATGTTGTAATCTAAAAGGTCAGTGCAAACTCTGGTACATAGAAGTTCAGTGTCCAGGCATGCTACTCCTTCAGCATGGTTCTCAAAGCATTACACTATTTCCAGGCTTTTGAGGCTATTTCCAGCATTTGAGTTTTGCCCAAAAGATCAGTTGAAGAAATCCACTTAAAATTCCAGACATGGCATATCTTATCTTTATTCCTACAGGAGATACAATGTGGCAACCCAACACCTCACAGCAAGTATTTATTTCAGGGCTCTAAACCCATCAGTGTGAAGAACAATTCCTGGAATTGTGAAAATTGTCCATATAAGGCATTGCCTGTTTTGAGCAGCTACACTGATAGATAAAGAGGAACGGGTAGGAATTTACTTGTTAGACCTTTTTTTTTTAAATGCAGCAAAGCTACTCAAAAATAGAAGGCTAAATAATACGGGAGTAATTTAAATTGTAGTACATCTGCATATTTACTGTAACTAGCTATGCTGAAACATTAGTAATTCACATCAAAAGCACTCTTGAATCATTATAAAGGCCAGATTATTAAAAAGAGTATTAACCTCATCCAAGCAGAATGTCAGCCAATTCTAAGAATTCATACTTGGTAATTTTTAAGACCAGTAAGTGTATACATTAAATAGTCAAAACCAAGATACTTTTACTTTTGTACACTTAACCTTTTCACTGAAAGATCTATTTTCATACCTCCATAATGATCACAGTCCCCACCATCATCGAATACATGTCATATTGTGCCACTTGTTTGCTTAGTGAAGAACTCAGAGTCTTGAGGGCCTCCAAGTATTGCTTCAGGACCTTTTTGCCAAGATTTAAGAGTATTTCTGAATTATTCCCCTCTAAATACAGTTTGATCCAATTACCATGGGATTTTTCTGCTATCTTAAAATGTTCATATCCAGGATCTGGGCGGTGGGAGAAAAGAAAAGAAGCAAAAGGATGCATGAACAAAGGAGGATTAATTAGAGTTGTGATCATATTTTTATATTTGCTTGTATAATACATAAAAATATATAATTGCTATGGGGGTTGAAGCTTTTTTCAGACCTACAAAGTTACAACATCTCCCTGTAGCAATACCATGATGAGCCAGTTACTCAGAATAAAAGCAATTAATCCCTAACTTAATAAAATGTCAAGGTCTCTAACAATTGACAAACTTATTTAAATATTCATTCACTTTTGCAAAAAGTTTCCAGGACAAACAATTCAAATGCTTTAGATCCTGTTAAAAAAAAAAAAAAAAAAAAAGTTTTCCACTGGAACCACTCACTATCCTGGGCATATTGTACAAGCTGAGTGGGAAATGATCACCTAGTTGATCTCTAAAAGAAACACCAAAGGAGACACAAACACTGCATTAGTTGATAGTGCAGGCTGGATGAGTGGATGGTGAGGTGGACTGAGAACTGAAGGAATGGTAGGGCTCAGAGGATTGTAATCAGCAGTGCAAAGTCTAGTTGGAGGCCTGTCACTAGTGGTGTCACCCAAGGGTCGATACCGGCTCCAGTGTAGTTTGACTTGTTCATCAGTGACTTCGGGAAGGGGCAGATGCATCCTCAGCAGGTTTGCTGACAAGAAAGCTTGAAAGAGTAGCTGATACCACAGAGGGCTGTGCAGCACTTCAGAAGGACCTTGATGGGTTGATGAGACAGTCAGAGGAGAACCATCTGAAATTCAACAAAGGCAAGTGCGGGATCCTCACCTGGGGAGGAATTACCCCAGGCACCAGCACAGGCTGGGGGCCAACCTGCTGGAAAGCAGCTCTGTGGAGAAGGACCTGGGGGTCCTGAGGGACAGCAAGCTGTCCATGAGCCGGCAGTGTGCCCGTGTGGCCAAGAAGGCCAATGGGATCCTGGGGTGCAGCAGGAAGAACATTGCCAGCAGGTCAAGGGAAGTGATCCTGCCCCTCTACTCAGCTCAGCCAAGGCACATCCAGAGCTGTGTCCAGTCCTGAGCTCCTCAGCAAATAAGAGACAAGGAGTTCCTGGAGCGAGTCCAACATAAGGCTACAAAGATGACTAAGAGACTGGAGCATTTCTCATGTGAGGAAAGGTTGAGGGAGCTGGGCCTGTTCAGCCTCAAGAAGAAACAACTGAGAGGAGACCTTATCAGTGCATACAATTATCTGAAGGGAGGTGTGAAGAGGATGGAGCCTAACGCTTCTCAGTGGTGCCAAGCAATAGGACAAAAGGCAACAGGCAGAAAGTGGAACACAGCAAGTTCTACCTGAACACAAGGAAGTCCTTATTTACTGTGCAGGCAACTGAGCACTGGAACAGGTTGCACAGAGAAGTTGCAGAGCCCTTCTCTGGAGATACACAAAAGCTGTCTGGACACATTCCTGAGTAGTGTTGTAGGGGACCCTGCTTGAGCAGGAAGGTTGGACTAGATGACTATAGTATTCCATTCCTAACTTACCAAATTTGTAATTCTCTTTTTAAAATATTGATCACTGAGCGTAGTAAGGATTCACAATATAAATTCAGTTGACAACACATGGAAAGCAAAAGCGTAACTTGCATCTCACTGAACATTATGCTGTGCATGAATATGTACATTTATCTGTATTTCTTGCAAAAAAAAAATATTTGCTTTCACTTCAGATTAATAGCCCTTGTTATTTCCCTGCAATTTCACTTGAAAGTTAAAGACAACCTAAGTGTAAAAAGTAAAAGGGTCAATTTGGAAATTTTTATATAACTTGCAATTCTTCCCTTCTTAGCTAAAGGTAAGGTAATACATTTGCTGTACAATTTCAGATAGTAAAGGTTAAAGCAATAACTGAAATAACTTTGGTGTCACAAAGTCTTACGTTACAGCTCATTTTTACCCCTGGTAGATGAACAGTATATCAGATGTGGGAAAAAAACCACTATATTTTTTGCTAAGCCTTTTCAGTAAAAGTACAGTATTAAATCCAGAAACATTTTTAATTTTATTTCAAGTGAATGAAGATGAATATGTCTATTCACAATTCTTGTACAGTTATGAAAGAATTGTGCCTACCTCTTGTAAGTCTCTTATCATACAAGACGCTTTGTGATCTACTGCATTCAAAGTGGGAATTTTAGAAACCAACATTTAACTCACAGTGTCCAGTCTGTTCTCCCAAGACTTCTAGCAGACTCCAAAGCATGCTGATCCTGTGATGCAGGAGGCTTTTAGACATCTGCTAGAAAGTACAATTCAGCCAGCAGCAAACATTTACATATCAGGAGAGCTGCCAGTACACAGGGATGATTTTATTTCCTTCCCATAGTTCTCTGAAAAATTAATTCCCTGTAAAGTTTCTCTAACAGTATGTTTGAAATAAGAGTTAAATATTCATACTTTTGAGGACATCCATAAAGGATCATCTAAAATGAGCTTTAATCAAACTGAGATTTGACATGATACTATTTCATTACACAGAACACCAAAATGAGTTCAAGCCATATTTTGATACATAAATAAATTCCCTCCACATCTTCTGCTCCTATTCTGCTCACTTGTCATGCTTCTTGCTCAGTCTCTCCCTTTTTTAGCATTTTTATTTCATTCTCATCTACCTCTTTCCGTGTTACTGCCCACCAAACTCATTCTGCCCATGTTATGTAAGATGACTAGTCAAATCCACATATGAGTGAGTGATTTAAAGATCTTGCAGACAGGAATAAAGGACCACAGTTACCAAATTTCCCTTGAGAACTCCTATGATATCTGTTCAATGGCACATTTGTACATATAAAAGAAGGGTCACAGGCACTAGTTGTTGGTAACTGGCAGGTAATACTGGCAAGTCACTCCTGCATGGGATACTCCTAAGACAGGTTAAACTTGAGGCAAAATCCAAAGTGAGCTTGCCCAGTTACACATTTCCCAAAGCACTAGCAATGGTTTACTTGCATAGTATTACACTGGCAATTTGTGCTTCAGCCTCACAACCATCTGATCACAAGCAGATGGCTATGCTTCAGAAGCATCTGTTTGACAACAATTCCACTTAGTTACAGTCACAGGCAGCAATCACTTAAAAAGAGCTCTAAAAAAAGACTGAATAATGTAAAGGTGACTCCTGCAGTTTCAGTATACAAGTGTCCCAGTAACAGTCAAATTATTTCAATCAGCACATGCATCTAATAAAAGTTCAGGATCAGTCCCAAATTGAAAAGCGGTCACTCATTTTAATAACAACATCCAACTTGTTCTCAGTCATGACTCTGCAAAGTGCCTTTCAAAGAAACAGTCCTAGTTTATCCTTCCAATGCACATTGATAAGTTCAGAACATGAGGGAAGCACTGCTAGATACCTAGATCTGCCCACCTTACACTGAGGTAGGAACCTGCTCAAAAACCTAAAGTGTGTTTTTAGATACTTCTCCTTTCAGCTTCCTCATTTTTGCCAGCTGTTTTTATTCTCCTCTTTCAGACTTTTTCCTTACTTGCAGGTGTCCATCTCTATCAAAAGAAAACCTAAGGCCTGACATTAGCATTTATTAGTATGTTTCAAAAAGTTGTTTTTAAAACAACAAAGCCCTTAGTCAAGCTTCAAGTTTCTCATGTAAAATTTAATTTACTTGAAGATAGGTTTAGCTGTGAAGATTCCTTTGTATCTCAATAAATCAAAATCTGATTCCCCTGAAATGCTCTACTACCTCTTGGCTAGAGAAACCATGTTTGTATAACAAATACTAGGGGAAAAAAAAAAAGTTACTGACTTGCCTTCACTCTGCTCTTTATTAACAGATGTATTTAAAACACACTTGAAGATGAAGATATTTTTGTGTACTCTTCCAGTTTACTCTTAACATTGGAGCAGGTGAACCCAGGGAAGTCCATGGCTTCTTCATGAAACAGCTTATAAAGGTCATTGTGCCTTCCCATCTGACTGCGATTCAACTCAGTTGACATCTGACTTCATCTTACTGCATTAAAAAGGAAACTCATATTGCACCAAAAATCAATGTGTATGTTATGAGCTTACAATGGATGAAACTTTTCTTACTATGACTGATTCAGTCATCATCCTCATGGTCCTAATAGCTGGTGTCATAACCTCTGTGCCGTAAATCAAAATATTCTCCACAGGAACCCTATGTTTTCCCCTTCAGAAGAGCCTACTGCATTTGAGTTGAAAATAATAATAATATCAAGGCTTAGGTTACCCTGCAAGTATCTTTTACTTTAAACTCCAATCACAGACACTTCTCTGAGCATTCAGCTGAAATGTTATGATCCACCATTTGTTACCAGCTGAGAATCTGTGTTGGAAAGTTTGAACCTGCAGCAGCAAATGCAAGTGAGATGTCTAACTGACTTATCGTCTGGGATTTCTTTTCCTCAAAAAACCTGGCAGCAGACCTTGTCTGTGGAATTCAGAAATTATATGTCTCAATACCTGTCAGTACAATTCTGATGAGCGTCCAGATGTTCTACAAATAAAAATCAAAGGCTCTGAGCAGGATAAACTAAAGCAGATTGCTCAGATCTGTGTCCAGTCAGGTCCTGAATGTTTCCAGGCATGAAGTCTCCACAAGCTCTCTGGGCAACTCATTCCAGTGCTTGACAAAACTTACATAAAAAAAGTTCATAAAAAAAGTTAATCCAAGCAAATTATTTTTGTGGGGACCACCAATTAGACACTGGTTCAATTATCTTTATTCCCTCCCATCACACACTGTTTACATTAATAAGATCCCTGTTGAGTCTTTGCCTATCTAAGCTGAGCAGTCCTGTCAGCTTCAGCCTCTCCATGACAAACATTTCAACCCCTTCATCACCCTTCATGGCCATTCACTGCTCTCCCTACATTATACCTGTGTCTTTCTTGTTCTGGAGCGCCCAGAACTAGACACAGGACTCCAGATGGGGGTTTCCCACAGCTGATAAGAGGAAGGATTGACCTGCTGATGACTGTCTTCCTAATGCAGCCTTGCAGGCTATCAGTCTTACTTCCACAAGGGTGGAATTAATTGCTGGTTGGTGTTCAGCTTGGTGACCCCAAGGACCCCTTGGTGGTTCACCACTGAGCTGTCTTCCAGTCAGGCAATACCCAACCTGCCCTGATGCTTGGGGTTATTCCTTTCCAGGTGTAGGGTTTGGCATTTCCCTTTGCTGAACCTTAAGAGGTTCCTGCCAGCCCATTTCTCCAGTCTGTCAAGGTACCTCTGAGTAGCAGCAGACCCACCTACTGCATCAAACACTTCAACCAGTTTTGTACTGTGTCCTCCCCTTGCTGAGGGTGCACTCGTCCAGGCCATTAATGAAGATGTTAAATAGTACTGGCCTGTGTGGACTTTGTGCCACTGATCACAATCACATGAGCCCAGCAACTGTCCACTTATCTAGCCTGAACTGCAACAGGGGGCTGAAGCACCATATCAGCACCATGAATGATAAATATGAGGCTTCCTCTACCTGTCAGAAAATCTACTAATTCTCTAGTCCACTGATGGGGCATCTGCTCCATTACAGGACAATAACTTAGTCAGGCCCAATCTGTCCTTAGCAAAGCAGTGCTGGCCATCTCTAACAACCTTTCTTGCCTTCCATGTGTTTGGACATGTCTTCCACGAGGATCTGTTTCATGATCGTACCAGGCACAGAGATGAGGCTGACTGCTAAGCAGTTCCCAGGGTCCTCCTTTGCAAGCTTTTTAAAAACAGGGCAAACTCCTCAAATATGGATCAGATTATGGAATATGAGCACTTCTCTGCAAGGTAACTCTTTCTACGGGAATCACGACCGACATGCATACGTGTGTGTGTGTGTGCCTGTAGTGGGATGGGTGGGATGGCATTTATCTCCACCTAAAAATCATGCAAAACAAAAGGCCATTCATGCATGCTTTTAAATTACATACATTAGTCATTGAGTTAGGGACCTTTTCTTTAGTATTTCTAAGGTCTGAAGCATCCCCATCAATCAAACAACATTAAACAAACAGCACATAACTTTTCCCTGCCAATCTTAATCATACAGACCAAATCATTAAGCTACAGCCTTGCATATCTAGGACACTCTAAGAAAAACAAGACTATTTGTGAAGATATAAACCAGAAGCTGGTAGAAACTTCAGTCTGAAGAAATACCATCAGATGGAGCTTTGTGATAGAAATTTCAGCAACACAGGCATATCCTGAACCCCCCCAACAGGGCAAGTTCCTCACTTGACAAATGGGTTAAGAGAGGAAATCTGTGCAAAAAAAAAAAAAAATCAAAGTAGCTGGAGCACAGGTCCTGCTATTGACATGTTGCTACCACAAGCAGCAATTTTGGTTGAGTTCCTGGACAGGGTTTAATTATGATTAGAAGCTGTGATGTTGAAAGATAATTGATTCTTGACCTACAATGATTATCTTGCTAAAATTTACGTTGCTATCCACTTTAATTATTCATAGCTGCAACACAGCTCTGCATTCTCATCTGGTTATTTTAATGATTCAACGGATTATAAATCAAGTGACAAGCTTCACAGCCACTTTAATACATCTTCTAAGGTCTATGGTAAAATATTCTCCTTCATCCTCTGACTCAATTTTTTTCACATAATTATCATATTAACTTCTTTATTTATATTGCAGTTTGTACCGTACTTCTTAACAAAATACTACATTTTGCTAGATTGGGGTTATTTTTTCCACTTTTTTTTTATTCTTTCCTCTGAACACACACATGCATGTATTTTTAATTAGCAGCTCTGTAGTTCTTTAGGTTCTCACTCCAAATAAACTCGTACCTAAGAATGAAATAAAAAGATAACCTACCCTAAATTATTTCAGAGTTTTACTTGAAGCATCTTTTTATTTAAACTAGAAAATTCACTCCATTGTGCTAATTCTCCAAATAGCTCAGAGTAAGTGCCCTATGTAGGACACCTCACAAAGAGCAGTTATGAAACCACTAAGATTTAACCACACTGGCAATTTTCCTTTAATCTTACTCCTTCATCATTATTTCTGCTCTTTTGCCTACTAGGAGTATTAATGGTCATTAAAAAAACTGTATTCAGAGGCAGTGTATCAAAGTAATTTACAGCAAAGGCTGAACTCGGTATCATTTCTCTGAATATTGCTCTCAAATGAATAGCTACTTTGCAGCTACTTTGCTATACTCTTGAATCCGAAAGTCCAAACTGTTTAATTAATTCTTTTAGAATCTACGTGACACTTTCTGTACAGCTGGTTTACCTTTTTCATAGGCAGGCGTGTTCTCCTGCAGCAACCTGCTAAGCTGGAACCCGTTCAAGTGCACAAAACGTAGTTGTTCTCTCATTGTCTTGCCTCCGACAACTGGCAGAATAAGGTTCCCAACACTGTTTCTTGAAATTGGTAGACCAAGACCTACTGCCAGTGTGCTGGCTAAATCTGTTTGTTGCACACGTTCAGGTTGGGTTAGAGGACCTAGAATGAACAAAATAAAAGAACAGGTGGGGGGAAAAAAGAGAGAGGTATTTCAATAAAAGGCCCATTCTATTTCTCCAGAGACAGCTGGCACCTTATTAGTTTCAAAATTTTTTCACTGCTGTTAGCTCAGCTATTTCAAGTGGTCTACAGAGAGCTGACTGATCTTTTTCAGCCGCTGTCCTCTGCTGCTGTAAATCCAAAATTTATTAAATTCTCAGCCAGTATCACTCTCCAGTGCTAACAACTACTGTAAACACAACATGAATGTTATGCAAGTAAGAAAACAGATGGTCCAGGAGATCACCTTAACATCAAGTTGCAGCCTACATCCTAAGAGGGTTTCATAACTTTTACATTAGAAATAGCAGGAAGCACTACAGCAGACTAATTTAATGCATGAACAAAGAAAGAGAATCTAAAATAATGTTGACAGCATTCTAGAAGCTTCTCAATATAATGACAACAGCTCAAGATTCAATTAATATCAGGTTGCTAGGCAAACAGAATTAGAGATCAGGTAAAGAATGCTGAGGCTCAAAATCTGCAGCTACATGCAGGCAGACTCAGTGATTTTTAAGGAGTTCTGTGCAGGATCCCATTAACTTACTGCAGTTATCAGGATTAGCCTTCAGTCCCACAGATATCTGTCCATGGGAATGACTTCACTAACATAAGTAACCTTTTGTTTAAGATTGCTGAGCCAATTGTTCCTTTGCATGTTGAACTAGTTACGCAGCAGTGTTTTTCTATGATGCTTTTATTTCATCCTCTTTGTAACTCCAGGCAGTGTTTTAACTTAAGTACAGTACAGAAAGAGTTCTATATAGTCTTTATTATTCTCAAGGCTTCCCCTTAAGAGCATTAGAACTTCTCTCATTTCTCATCTATCTAGCTCCGATTAATCCCATATTTGTACGGAATGCCATCCATAATCCGTAAAGCCTCTTTGCATGAGTGCCTGTATGTCAGCAGTTTTCAGATTTTATCTTTAAAGGCGAGTACTTAACTGGTTAAAAAAAGCCAAACCACCAAGTGCATTCAGCCAATCATGGGTGACGCATCCCTGTGGAAGGCTATACGAGTAATATTCTGACAGCATACTAAATGCAAAAAGCCCACAGGATTACTATTTTGAGGTCTACTAAATTAACCACAGTACATTTTGTTTACAGTGGGATCATAAGGAGCAGTCACTAGAATCCCAATTACTGTGCCAGTGAGAAGTAAACTGCTGGATATTTACAAAGGCATAATTAAAAATCGCAAACTCTATCCCAAAAGACAGGTGACGAGATATATTTCACTGCATTGTGAAAACAGCATGTTTAGTCTAAGCCTAACAGAAAGCAAACCCACTGAACAGAAGATTGCATTTACAGAATCTTCACTCTCATGGCCTTGCAGTCAACACATACTAGTGAAATTCATAAAGCAAAAGCTTATCCAAGAGCTTTGGTCCACTCTTGACTTTGTTTTTAGACCCAAGAAGAGTTCAACAAGTCCTCAAGCAATGCTTTCTGTTGCAGTTGAATAACAGCTTTACAAATGACAGACAGAAAAATGTATTTCCACTGTGCTGCAGGAACCTCCAGCAAGATAAACAAATGAAAGTTCTGCAAACAGGCTTTAAAAGCAAAGAAAACAGATGGAAACGAGTAAGAGGCAGAATGAAAGGCAGGAGAGGCATTATGAGGAAGATATTCACTTCTGGTGTGAATACATTTCACCAATTCACTCAGTCAAGGAGTTTCTTTAAGCACTACTATAGAAATCAGACTAAAGATTCTCCACCATTCCATTTCCTTCTTGCCTCTTACCTTAAGCCATCTTACTTTTATCTTTCATTATTATTTACAAGTAGAAAATCAGTTTCAGAAACATACCAACTCACACCAACGATATAAAATCAACTACTTGGCCGATACAGTAAACAGTCTCATGTTCCATATTCTTTACTTAAGGCTTAGCAATCAAGAGTTTTCACTGCTGTCACCTCTCACCCCTTCCCAAGAGCAATTCTTCCTCCTGCCTGTTAACTCTCAGTGTGAGAAACTGTCATTCATTTCTCTGTCCTAGCTGTCTGAAAGGGAAGAATGGAGGCCAAAGAAATATTCTGGAAAATGAAAGGCAAAACTTAAAACTCACTTCAAATAAGATATTGCTTCTAAACCTATTCATTTACCAGTAGCCCAGGATCCTCACAACAGATCTTGTTAGCTCTCAACAGTCAGGTAGGGCAGTACTGTAGAAAATTATCATCCAAAAAAAACCACAATTCTCTCAGTGGTTACAAAGCTTAACTCGTGGTTTCATCAAGATATAGATGCCAGCTTTGGCTAAAACCAGAGTTTTGGGTCACACAGAATGGGCCTTCTACAGCCAGATAGTTGTAGAAGAAACCAAAGCACTTTTTGGGAAGAATATTCTAAAGAAAATATAAATTAGAGTTGCCAGTGTCTTCTTGGCCTGGTTTCAGCGGGGATACCACTAATTTTCTTCCTATTATCTAGTACCGGGCTGTGTTTTCCATTCAGTATGAGAATAATGTTGATAACACACTAATGTTTTAGCTGTTGGTAAGTCCCTTAGCCAAGGACTTTTCCATTTCCTGTGCTCTGCCAGTGAGCAGGTACACAAGAAGCTGGAAGGGAACACAAGTGGGATAGCTGACCTGGACTGAACAGTTTATACCACAGAGCATCATTCCCAGTACACAAACTGAAGGGAGCTGACTGGGAGCTGTCCACTACTGCCTGGGGACAGGCTGTGCACCGATCAGCAGGTGGTGAGCAATTGCAATGTGCATTACTCATTTCTCTTGGGCTTTACTCCTCTCCCTCTCTCCTTTTCATTACAATAATAATTATTATAAACTACACATAATTATTACTGTTGTTACTGTTACAGTCATATATGGTAGTAGTATTCTCAGACTCTTAGGGTGCCCTATGCACTGGTATCCACTGGAGCCTTATATCAAGTGCCATGCAACCTCTCACCCACTCACACCCCCCATCCTGGCAGGGAGGACAACTGGAAAGAAAAGGTAAACCTCCTGGGTTAAGATAAGAACAGCTTAATAACTGAAACAAATAAAATATAATAATAATAACAACAATGAAAAGGAGACAGGGAGGGGAATAAAACCCAAGAGAAAAAAGTGATGCACAGTAAAATCGCTCCACACCTGCTGACTGACGTCCAGGCCCTTCCCAAGTGGAGACTGGAAGCCCCCAGTTTATATCCTGGGCATGATGCTCCATGGCTTGGCCAGTTCAGGTCAGTTGTCCTAGCTATGCTCCCTCATGGCTTCTTTTGCACCTGCTCCCTGGCAGAGCACAGGAAAACAGGAAAGTCCTTGATTCACAGTAAGCACTAAAATTATCAGTGTGTTATCAAAGTTATTCTTATACTGAATCCAAACCACAGCCCTGTACCAGCTACTAAGAAGAAATTTAACACTATTCCAGCTGAAACCAAAACAGTTCTAAAAAATGTCATGCTTCTTTGATCCTTACCACTTCTCTTTTCAAAAGCAGAGCTGATAAACAGCAGAGGTGTGTGCACTTCTCCTTCTGAAGAACCACCATGACTACCTGTTTCAGACATCCCATGATCCCCACAAACAACCAGTAAGTTGGGCAAAGAAGCTTCATCCTGCAAATCACAGACAAAAATTTAAGTTATCATACTAACATGATTCATATGTATCACTTCACTATCTGTATCATTTTCAAACATGAATATGTCTCAAAGTGAATTTAATTTTTTTTAAACTTGCTCACAACACCTGGGGCGGATAACAAGAGCTGTCTGCAAATAAATGTTGTGCAGTAATAGTAATTTTTAGAAGTTAAGGCACATATTTACTAACACCCTTGTCAATAAGTTATGGGAAAAAAACCACAAAGACCCCCCTAAACTTAAAAAAACCGTTAATTTACAGTCTCAAGAAACTCACTGAAAGGTTATCACACTGTGGGAAGAAAATCAGAAGGCCAGGAACAGTAGCAGAAGGCCAGGAACAGAGACGTATTTCTCACTTCATTTCTTCACTGAGCTTTTAACATACATGCTGAATTATTAATATGGCAAATGTTAAAATAATATCAATGTAATATGAAAAAGAATCCTATTTCTAATGCTCTCTAGTGTCTCAAGTGCTTTTGGGGTTTAAATCTGACATGATTGATGTTAAATGATGCGTATGTTTCTGAATAAAGAGAAACAGAAGCATAAGTGAGGCCTGTCCGAGGATTTTGAGCTAACAAATCAAATTTGGCACAAAATAAACAGTCAGTCCGCAAAAAAGTAGTTTGTTGTCATCTCTAGTTATTACCAGTACCTGTTCTACCCAAAAAGTGAAGTGCCTTTATTATTCCTGTATTCTGAAACTGAGACAAAGGCTTTCAGATGACAAAAGCAAACATACTATAAAACTGTAGCAAAACCACTCACTACAACATTCATGAAATTTCCACACATAGGATTTAACCTCTCTTTTCATACAACAGTATCCATTTCTCTAAAAATACAACTGAAATTTTATGAGCAGCTATTCTGAATTGCAGTTGCCAAAAACAAACAAGAAAAAATACTTCGGGCCACTTGGAATTAAGACTTGGTACTTTAACATCCAGGCAGTCTAGGTAAGTCACAACATGTATTCCCAAACCTAAAAACAGGTTCAAATGTGCTACATTTAGCATAAGACAAAATGCAGTTTACAACCACCATTTCCATTTGAATTTTTCAAATATTTAAGAATTAGGTATGCCTTCACTACTGTAGACATTAGAGCCATTAACTATACACGCCCATTGCTCCTCCTGCCGAATCTCATTACTAAAAAGCACATCAACCACTGTCCTAATTCACGAGTGATAAGAGAATTTTGGCATGCATTCCTCTTGCTGCACACCAAGAGGGAATTATTTCCCAGAGCTGCTCAGAGGAGGCTCTTAACAGATGTTACTAAAGTCAGCCAGTAAATCCTTAAAAAGCGCTACACTGTAGTGTTAACTGGGGAATGGCCTGGGAAGGGAAGGAAAAGAGCTGAAGAATACCCCCTTTAGTCCAGGAATAAATGAGGTACCATCCCCAACCAGCAAACATTTTGACGTCAGTTCACAACTAACAGACACTGATCCAAGAGGAAGCTATATTACCTTTGAAAGAAGAGAAATATGAATCTTCTTCAGTATGTTATCCATTTCACGAAGTTTTGGTCCCACTAATGGGCTGTTTGGCCCACTAATATGTCCAATATGGTCCAACCCCAGGTAATGTAGTATTAGGATATCCCAGTCTTCTCTCTTTAATACTCTATCCAAATGCCTGGTAACATTATCATCAACCTCAAAGAAAAGGAAAACAATTAAAAGGTAAAAACAACTTCCCTCTTGTAAAAAACATAGAAAAATTAGATCGCACTAGCCACAAAAATTCTGTAGAAGTTGATGAGAAATACAGTCACTCACGATGTTAATGAGAGAAAAAAAACCAGGCTGATTAGTTCAATGTCAGATATTCAAATATATTTCTCTTGCAAAAGAGTTTCTTCACCCCATTTACTTGTCTCTGGTTACGGCGCATCAGATTACATACAAACAAGGCAAATGGGTCACAAAGCTTCCACAGAAACTTAAAACTGTTTCAAGAAATTTTTAGTCACTTTCATCCTTCACACTCCTGAATTTCTCACCTCACGAACTATCAAGTACATCAAGTATCATAAGTACAGGGAAAAGCCTCTGTTTAGTGCTTGGAATCACAGGAGGGCAAAAACCCCACACTTGCTTTTTCAACTCAATTTTTGCTACTGTGCAAACACAAAAAGATTTTACTTGCTGAGAGTGAAAGAACTGGCAACATAGCGAGAAAGAAATATTATTTGGTGTGTGTTATTTGGACCCTAACTTACCTGTTTTCCTGCTTAGGTTGACTGCATTTTTAGTTGCATATTTTCTCCCTGGATATTAAAAATCCTTACAATATTTCACACACAACATCACTTCGCTGACTCTGGATATAACTACCAAAAAAATCTATAAAAAGCTGTGTGTTTAATGGACTATATTCAGATACATAAAGACTGCATAAATAGCTTGAGAGTCACATAATCACAGATCCAGCAGCATATTTGCATTTTTCCACTCCATGTTGAAGCTTTTGCAAGTCTTATTAGTGTAACCAGTTAGAAGTGTCTTCAAATCCACATTAGACCTTTCTAATTTCCTTACACATGTTAATAAAATATGTCAGTAGCAGTGGGTCAGTAGAATGAGGTTTAACAAATCATAAAGGTTCAAAAATGAACTAAAATTGCCAAATTTAATCTTCTACTCTGTCCAGAGTAAGAACTTTCAAAATTTGTTTCACTTATTTTCTATGCTCCCTCTTTGATAACATAACGAAATACTATTCCTAATGCAATTACAAAAGTGATGGAATACTACAGAAGTATGCCTCTAGGAGACCAAGATAATCTATTAATTGGCCTCTTAAAGACAGCACTAACTAATAAAAATATGACAGCAAACTGGAAAGTGGACAGTGGAATTTTTAAACAAAGCAACTGGTCTAACTTCCCACCACAAGAAGTTTTGTAAGAAAATCGCACCTTGAGGAAAGTTATACAGTAACACTGATGGTTACTGCATCACCCAAACACTTCCCACAGTATTTGCATGAAGGACTGAAATGCTTAGATCCACATGTGCCCATACCAAACACACATGTAAACCTAATTTCTATTTAATTGCCAGGTGCCTATTTCAGAACAAGTGTTGCTTTACTCATTCACTCTTAGAGGTTGCCACTCTGTGTTTGCATTCACTTTATTTACCTTGGGGTCATACAAAGCCTCTCACCTCTGTAAAGTCTGACACAAAAAACGACGTAGTTCCATCATATTCCACAAAGTGCTTTGGGAACAATTTAACCCATGTGTCGTCACCATAAAAGATTATTCTTTTCCCAGCTGCTTTTGCCTGCCATATCAGATTGTCATCCAACAGAGCTGGGGAATTGAGGTTCACAACGACATCAATGAAACCAGGTATGCTACCTGTCATCAAGGCCTACATGAAAAAAGAAAAGAGACAACATTAAACAAGAACTTTCCAGAGATCAGAAGACAGTAGCAGTGTAAGCAGGAGGAAGCAATAACCCAGACGGATTTTTCTTCACTTTCAGTAAAGAAACATAACAAAGTAAAAGAACACAAGCTGCCCTGACACATAACCTCACCTGTCACAATACAGTGCTAGTTGATGTCAGAGATAAAAACTGCTTTACAAAAGGTAAAAATAATACTGTTTTAATCAGTGGACAGTGAAATGACTTTGTGTGACTTAGCTGAAATTTGCTTCACTTACTAGTCATTAAATCACCAGAAGAGAGTTTAGAAGGTCTAAGTAAACTGACTCAACATTCACAATGATAGCACATTTGAAACACTAAATAAGAAATGTCTAGGAAATGAAATGAAGTCCACCTATGAAGAATTTCCAGACTGTCTCCCCCTCACTCTCTTACTGGCTTTCTAGTTGACCTACCAAAGATCACTCCCCCAGCTTCTTCAATGCAGAGGTGTCACTCAGATCCTGGAGTGACAAGCCTGGATGATCAAGTACTCTGACGACACCTCCACAATTCATCTTTTAGTTATGTGGAACTTCGCACAGTTTCCTTTTTAAGCTCTTCAAAAACATCCTTATGACAAAGCAATTTAATACTAAACTGAAATTTCTATCCAAGTTACAAGAACATAGAGAAATACCAATAAACATGTTCTTGAATGGAAGACCAGTGGAAAACTTGACAACTGAGACGATACTGGTCTTCCCATGACTACAAACAAAAAGATTATGCACTAGGGCATTAACCTCTGGGCGATGGCAAATCAGGACTCTGTCACATGCACTACTATAGCAAAGAGAGATTGCACTAACACAACAAACCTGTCCTTTATGCCAAGTCCAAGCATACGAAACAAACACTTCAAACTTTCTCAAATGAAATGGAAAAAACCTAAAACATTTACCTTAATTCGAGGCATGGTCACAGTAGGAGGCTTTGCTTCAGCAATGAAGCTGTAGGAAGTCCCTTTTTCAACAACTTGCGTAGTATATGGCATGAACTGTTTGCCTTTGGATCCAAACACAAAGTCATCTCTCAAAGCATCTATCAGCACAATGACAACTTTACTGAAAAGCGGTGCAGGAATCTTGGTCCAGTTAGAAACCGTTCCTAAGCAACAAATACAGGGTATACAAAAGTCATTAACAAATTCTACCAAAGACTAGACAGAAGTTAAAAGGACAGACCACAGAAATGAGTGCTTTCAAGTCCTTTCTTATTTTAACATTTGGAAATGAGAAGTTGCAAACAATGGTCAATGTGAGAAGTAATCAGGGGACGCTCAGTTTTCAGGCTATCCAGCACAGGATTAACACAACAACAACTCCAACACAGCATCTAAGAAGTAAAACAAAATTTGAATGGAATGTGTGATGTGAAATTGGGAAAACTGAGGAAAAGCTTTGAAATGGGAGAGTGTTCAAAGCAACAAGAAGGGGTAGCTGCTACCTTCTCTCTTGTTGATTCATTAAGGCTGAACTACATATATCTGACAGACTTTTGTTAGAAAAAAGATGCTACATTGGCTTTTACTAACACACAGTTTTGCACATCAGAACAAAAGCAATGCCTCTGAATGAAATCTCACCATCAGGTAACAGGAAAATTACAAAGAAACACACAATTTCACTGAGACTTGCAGGAAAAAGATCTGTGCACACTTGCCCCCTTCAAGGTAGAAGATTGTATGCCAGGCTAGTTCTGTGATGGCAGCTGCAGGGCCAAAATACAATTCAAGAATTCCCTGAACGTGGTACATGGGTGGGCACAGCAAAATGCTGCTGTGCATCGAGCAGTAGGCAATGTCATGCCTCCAGGGCCACCCTTCTCTTGCGCGGACTTAATTCTGCCTGCAGCAACTCTTGATCTGCATTGAGCTTGGTCCACATGGTGACATTAAGCTCTAGGCTCACCCTCTGCAGGTCTCACTTCTTTACCAGGAAAAAATACAGAAGGGTAAAATGGAAGCAGAATGGATCCTGTCCACAGACCTCTACTTAACAAGATTGTGTTCAATCAACTTCTCGGTACATGCGCTACATAAAGTTAGGGGGTTTCACACTTCTTTAGAATAAAGTTTGTTTCTGCATAAGTGGCTGACAATTTGGAAAGGTCACAGATAATGGTGTGTCTAACACAGGACTCTCAAAAAAAACAAAAACAAAAACAAAACACCTCAGAAACTGTATTTTGGGTACAGATAAGCATCAATAAACTGACATTCACAGACTCATTACTGCTAGTGATTTTTCCAGATCAGGAAGTGATGGAGAAGAGCACAGCAGGGGGAAGAAGGAAATCTCAAAAAACAATAAAATGCTAACTGCAAGCAACCCTAATTAAACTGACAATTTTGGTTTTCCAGGACTTGAATTATCAACTAAAAGGCATGCTTTGGCTCTTCATGAAAAACAAGAAGGCACTACTGGATGTATTGTTGGTAAAATCTTCCTCATAATTTACTCCTATCCACTTGCTTAGTGAAAGAAGGCTTCCTGGACACCAAAAATGATCAGATCATAAACACATATACCCTACTCCTAAGTTCCTCCTGCAGTGTAATTCATCAGTAAGTCAAAGTATTGAGAAGTTCAAATGATTTTTGAGTCACAAACCATCTGAAAATACTTATTGTAAGATAGTGAAAGCAACACATTGTGCAAGTCTTGGCATGTGCCACGCTTATTTATGGTTACTTGCTTAGAAAACAGTTACTTTAAACACAGCTGAACTGCAAGCAGTGAAGAAAACTACAGGTTCTCTATCAAAAACTGCCTACAGTGATGTGCTGCAAGGATTCACTATTATAGCCATCTCACAAGCAAGACAGGATGGAGTCAATGGCAGTCAGGACTCACAAAGTGAAACATTCCTGAGGCACTGGGGAATAGCCTTTCCTGAATAGATCTAAAGTAGGTTGAAAGCCTTCTACACCGTGTATTTACTAAGCAATACCCTGCCTTTAGACGTTTTTGTCCAAACCAAGAGATCACTGTGCAAGCAAACCATGACCCAAGGACTACAGAAAGTGTTCTTCCACTGCCACTCCATTTTTGCCTGCTACTACTGGGATTACTAGTGACACACCTAAACTTAAACTGCCTGTAGAGCCCTGTGGTGCACACTTACACTCTTCAACACAAACCAGTCCTTTCAAAAACCCAGTTGCCTGTCACCTCCCTCCCACCCAAGCACTCTCCCTCTACATTAGTCTCCAGCCAAAAACCACATGTGAATGCAACACTTCACTCACAGCAGCCTGTCAAACATCTCTGGCAGTCTTGGTAAACCCCAGTGAAAAAGCAACCTGCCATCCAGCAGAATCCACTCAGGTCTGTTACCAAACTAGTGTTCGTGTTTAACTGGTATCAGCACATCACACTATAAATTACACAAATTTCTTTTTCTTCCACTGTGTCTAGCAATTTAAGTAACAACTCAGTGACCTTCGTGGGTCCCTCCCAACTCAGAATATACTGTGATACTGTAAAAAAAAAAAAAAAAAAGTCATACACTTCAGAAGAATAACAACAAATAACAAGCAACTGAAGACCCAGTTTGGCAGGTACAGTCCTCTTCCACAAAGTTACTAAGTTCATAAGTAGGTGTCCCAAGCAAGAGCTTTGTACGAGCAAAATAAATTCTACTCAATTCAGCTGCCCACTGAACCTGAAGTTTCACCCCACAAGCTCCAAGCACTGGTGAAGAACACTCCTTGAAGTACATAGTCCTCCTCTTCATATTCCTTTAATACAACCTGTGACTGGACATATAAGAAAGTTATACTACCAACATGACCTCCACTGACTCCTCGTTAAAAAGGTGCTGGAAAACTTTGGTTTCGCCCATTCAGCTGGGGAATAGAGCAGGACCATTTCACAGAAATGGCAATGGGACAGCAATACTGTGCACGTTGCAACCTGCATTGCTACAGTCACTTTGTCACTCCTGAGGCCCTGAAGTCCCAACAGACAGGATGGTTCTCGGGGACAACGTAGCCAGAAAGTAAACAGGGTAAGCACTCGGGCGTTTTAACTGAGAGGGCATCATTTAATGCAGAAAACTTGCCATTAAACAGGAGAGGTATGGCAATATCAGCGTCAGGGAACGGGGAATAAAAGGACAGGAAAGCAAACCCTTCACGGACTTTGACAGCTGGCACTGGAGGCTTTTTGCCGCCGTGAGCAGATGCTGCTGGCAGTGATCGACAACTACACGGAAACCAGCTAAGTTCTAAACTACTCCGGAAGCAGTTGTGGAAGCACGAAGGCGTTTCCAGAAAGGTGTCCCGCGGCACCGAGGGAGGGGGCGCGCCGGGCGGCTGCTCGCGTTACCTGGGCCGGGCGGGGCCGGCTCGGCGGGAGGGTCCGCACGGGCCTCTCTGCGGGGCAGAGACCTGACGGGCACCGGGAAGAAGCCGCGGAGGAACAGCGCGACGCCGAGGGCCTGCACGAGGAGGCAGGAGGAGGCGAACACCCCCGAGCGTAGCCGCATCCTGGCACGGCCCGGGCGGCAGCGCCGGCACCGGCCCCGACCCGTCCCGGGCGGTGCTGGGGGCGGCTCTGAGGGGCGGGCCCGCCCGCGGCCCGGCCCTGCCGCCGAGCCCCGCCCCCGGCCCGCACCGGCCAACCAGCGGCCACCGCTCGCGCCCGCCGAGCTTCGCCATTGGCCAGCGGCGACCCCGCCCCTCCGCTCGCGGGAGGTGTCAACGCCGGGCCGGAAGTAGAGCCGCGCGCGCCGCCCCCTCAGCCCTGAGCGCGGCTCGCGCCTCCGCATCCCGTATCCTTATCCCGCATCCTTATCCCGCCCCGCACCCCACTCCGTGTCCTACTCCTTGCGACCCACTCCCGCGTCGTACCCCGCCATCCCACCCCGCGGCTCGGCCCCGCGCTCCCCAGCGGAGGACGAGCCGCTGGAGCGGGAGGTGCAAGGAGACTTTTATGTAACTTTATGTAACGTTGTCATAAGGAGAGCGTGGCAGGTGAGGAAGGAGTCCGAGTTGTTCGGCGAAGCAGAGCCTTTCCCCGCCACACACGCGCACGTTTCTTAACACGGCCGAATAGCGATAACCTTTCAGTCTTTCCACTGGAGTGGGGAAAAGACTGGAGCAGGTGGCTCGCGGCAGACGAATGGGAAGAAATGAGTTTTAAGGGTTTAATTTTCTGAAGCGGGGAGCTGAAGGCGCTCTGCGGAGTGAAGCGGTCTGTGCCGTTCTGCTGTGGCCCACAGTTCCGCCGGCACGGCGTGCCGGGTGTTCCTGCACTGCCTGCGAGCGGCACCTTTTCCCCCATCCCACAGGGGCAGTGGGATCCCCAGGGCTGCACCCACATTTGCCCCTGGGCTTAGCTGGCTGGGGCCGGTCCCGGGACGAAGCTGCCCTGCCGCGGTTTGCAGCCCTCGGCTGTGTGTGTGGATGTGGCACTGCAAGCGACTCCAGAGCGTTTTTCCTGCTGGGCCTTTCGCCTCAGCACAAAGTGTTACCTGCTTCGTGTGAAGGCAGGCCAAGTACATTGTACCATGCTTTTGAAAAGTGTTTTCTGACTTGAGTTTGTCGGTCTGGGGTTTCACTGCCAGCTTTTGCTGGCCAGCTCTCCACACTTTGCAACAGCTGTGGCAGGGCAAAATTGTCCTGATGGGAGAGGCATGTGTGAGTGGGTTTGGGATAAAAGCCTTCTGAAAGTTTGTATTCCTTTTGGCCTTTCCGAGGGCCTCCAAGCACAGAGAGAAAAATCAGGGATCCTCGTGCCCTGTGGGTTCATTCTCTTTAAATGGAAGATTGGTAATAGATCCCTGAGCACTGTGATACCTTCAGGCTTCCTAAGTGCTTTTTCTGGTCACTCTTTACGCATTATGCTCCTACTCAGACTGTTTCTAAAGTTTTAATTTCCTAAGAAGGTCCAAAGCCATTGTGTTAAGAAGAAAATGCATTTTTGCAGATGCCGTTCACTTGTTTCTTTCCAGAAGCGTGACTCTCAAGGCCCGTGAAAGTTACTATTCAGTATTTAACTGCAGCTCACTATGGGCAGTGCAGAGAAATTCAGAGAGAACATGCAAGGCTTTGGATCAGTGGGAAAGTAAAACAGCAGACTTTTGGCCATTGTGTTCAAGCTTAAAAAATGGCTTTAGGTAACGTTACATTATTTGTTCAGAAAAGCTGTATTTGTTGCTTTTCATGGGCATTTTCTGCTCTCCTTTAAACCTTGAACTAATGAGTGAGACTCTTCGAGCAGAAAATAAGAAAGATTCACTAACAAATATAAAGCACCCTATCTTAGGCAGTGTTTATAAATCACAAAACAGCATTTAAGAAACATCTGTCTTTTGCTTTCATGGACAAATATTAGCTTCCCTTTCAGGAATAAGGTGGATATTCCCCCAAGCACTGCATCTTTCTCCATCATTCACACCTTCAAATTCCCCCATAAGAGCATAATTTCTGTGTTCAGGCAAAAGGTTCTCCCCACAGACATAGATACACCAGCTGCCATGTGGTTCACACCCCCCAAGAGTGCACATCTGGGCATTTATTGACTACCAGCATCATTTGGCACGTTCCTGCAGCAACGTGCTTTCAAGTCCATTGCTATTGCACTTAGCTGCAGGGATCAAATATAGGGAAAATCCTGAGTGCTGCACAAGACTTTAAATCTGACTGAGTCTATGAGCTTGTCACAGCACAGTATACTCACAGTCACTGCCATGCAGTCCTGGGGCCATTTTACAAGTGTTTGGGTATAACCTCCTCTGTTGTGCATAACACATTTCTGCCCTGTGAGAGCTGGTGATTTCATGAGAATTCAGAGGAAGCCTTTGTGGGCTCCCCGGGTTGTAGGCTCACAAACGGTGTTGTGTGCATCAATTTATGTCAAGGGGCACTGACTGACTTAAATAGCCTTTAAAAGGTTAAAGGTCCATGCCAGAGTGTCAGGAAAGCGCAGTAAAGTGCAATTCATGTGATTCCAGAGACTGTAGTGTCATCGGAGCCAGCAAGCGTTTTAGAACAGAGTGCAACTCATCCATATGGGAGATGAATTTGCATCACTCCTTGCAGGAGCAGCATATTGCTACTGCTGCTGTTGTGAGGATCCACTCAGGCAAACTTACCTCTATGTGTCTTGAGGAAGAAGATGGAATTTAAGGTCCTGTGCAGAGCCCTCGCTAGAGACATTGCTCAAACTCTGGTGAGAAATCAGCTGACAGAAAGCCAACCAAGCCTTGTCTTCACCAGGTGTACCTAACACTGGTTCCACTAAAACACTAGGACACGTTTTGGGGAGTTTCTTTGCAACCCACATTTAAAGCAGCCAGGTGATATTGTTAATCTCTCTGGCATACTGCAGGGCTTTTCCTTACCAAGGCAACAAGTAAAAAGCAGATAAGGCAAAAATTTGATGTGTCCCCTGAGAGAGGAGCACACCACCTTCCAATAGTCAGTGTGACCTCGGCCAGCACTTAATGAAATACCACCCTTTAGTCAGCATTCAGCATGTCTGCTTCCCCAACTCCTTTTCTCCTGGTTCTTTGACTTCTTATGTTTCACAATTTATCTGGGATAAAAGGCCAAATCTTCATTTTCTCCTCTAGTTTCAAGCACAGCCAATATGCAGCCAGTTTCCTAGGTATCTATTTCTCCTTTCCCCTTCTCTTACTTAACCTTATTTTGACTGATTCCCTTGTAGTTTTGCTCTCAGGTCTCTCTACCTGCTGCTAATAACTTCTCGGGATCTGCAGCTTACCACCTTGGTCTTCGAACTGCCTCAGGTATTCTCCCTCTCGGGGCCTAATGAAACAGGATTTCACATCTGAGTGTGTGTGTTTATGTGAAACCTCCACATTTCTTCTGACCTTGCCAAGGTCAGATATGCGAGCATCTCATGCCAGTGGTTTAAAGAAGCATCCTTTTGTGTAATCAGAGTGATACCTCTTAACCTTGTTCCTAATACATTCAATAGGGTATTGGGGAACACATAGGGCAACAGGGACAGTGGCAAAATTGACATGCATAAGTAAAAGCCACCATTTTTACACATATCAGTTAAGTGAAACAGGAAAAAAAACAACAAAACCTACTTCACAAGGTGATCTTAAACAACAAAAGCACTACTACATAGTTTGAAATCTAGAAGGACACACAGAAATTTTTTTCCTGCTATCATTTAATTTCTCCATTCTTCAATACATGGCAATTTGAATGTATGTCAGGTCTCTGCTGTATTAAGCCACGGTAAAACATCAAAAAAGGTTAGCAAAGACTGCCTGCTGAAGTGTGACTCTCCATCCTGGTGCACTGCAAAGTCTCCAGAGGTTTGTAGTTGCTGAGCAAAAAACAATGCAGAAGCACTGTCATTGTAAACCTGCTTCTCAAATCTTAGGCTGAATAGGAACCTCTGCACATAGAGGAGAATTGAACAGAAAAAAAAAATCAATGGTTTTATCCACATTAAATAATTGATTGTCTGTCTTTACAGACACACATGTGCATGCACACGCACAGAGGATGCCTTCAGGTTTAGCTACTTTGGAAACTATGCTTGCAGAGCTTATGGGATTTGAGATTGAGGCGACCAGGGATCACTGAAGGAGATAGCCTCTGATAACCCCTGAGGTGGTGAGCTGTGGGGAAACCAAGGTCTGGTTTGTTTCTGTAGACTGCAGACTTGCTGCTTTCCTGCAGTGTGAAATTACTTGATTTTGAAGGGGAAGCAAAGCTGCAGAGCAAGAACTAATTGAAGTTAGAGGCTGCTTGTTAGTTTCCCCCAGAGCCCTGCACTCAGAGCTTACACAGCTTAGTAGCAATATCTGTATCCCCCTGTCTCTGCCCAGGGTTGCACAGAGATGTAAATGGTCATTCTTGCTTAAGAAAGCCCTGGCTTTAGAGCTGCATTTAGAGTGCTCACCCAGGCAGGCTCTCTCAGAGCTGCAACCATACACTGGGGTCACTGAGCATGAACCCCACGCGTGCTGCTGGTTAGAACAGATCACGGGATGCTGGGACCCACTGTTCATTTTTTGTTTGGTCTAAATGGGCTGGATAAAACATAAACAAAGAGGAGTAAAACCTCAAGGAAAGTTCCAAAACCACTTAAGTAAATGGACTGATTCTGGTAGAAGAAATGTCTGAAGCCCCTGTGAAATGCCAGCAGGCTCCACCAATCATCTAACCTTCAGGGCAGGCACTGCGAGAAGGAGCTAAATTGGGGCCCAGCTAAAGCAACTGCTTTTCATTACGTGTGAAAACTAACCATAATCTCTCCTCCCTAAAATTTTACCCCCTTATCTTGCTGTCTCCTCTTTTAATCCCATTTTCTTTCCTAATCTGCTTCTTTTTCCTAAGGCAAAATCTTTTGCAGCCGTGCTCTGTGTTTGACAGTCTCTCTCCTGCTCTTCCTGATAGACTTAGCTCACTTTTAGAGAGGCAGTGAGCAGGGGTCATGGTGATACGAGGTTCTTCCAGGTTTAATGAGAACCTGGAAAGAGCAAACAGACTCTGTCAGTGCCTCAAGAAAACTGACCTCTTATTAGGTGCCAAAGAATCCACAGGA